CTTAATATCTTCTTTGATTGCTGTTCATCTGATTGTTACTCCGAAAAAAGTTTTACTTTCTTTTTTAAAATATTTAAACTGATGTTATTACTTTTGTATTTAGGAAACTTTTTGGCATGGAATATCATATAATTCTTCTTGTATATAATATCTTATTTGTAAATGATAATCTTTCCTTCTGAGAATTGAAAATACAATGTTCCTTAAAGATGAAAAATGATATGATGGAAAAAAAAGATGGTGGAACTAAATAATAACTATTAGATTTTTAAAGACAGCAAATTATCCGTGTTCCAATTTCACTTCAAACATTAATGATGGATGCGTAACGTATATCTGAAACGATGTTTTCGTCTTTACGTAAGTGAATGATTCAAATGATTATGAAAAACTTACAATATGAAATGACTTCATGCTCAAACAGAAAGTTTATGTGTTGCTGCAAATGTCTCCAATGTCTCTAATAAAACACAACATTGAAAATTTCAGGATTCTGATAACACTGATTACTTAATTAATATCAAACAAACACAAATACATGTTGTTTCATTACAAACATTACTTTTCCATCTATCAAACAGTCAAAAAATTTTAAAATCTCCGACACAAAAAAATGCTCGCTTTATAATTAAAATATTTTGTCTTTGTTTCCTGTGATTTGTTTTTATTATCTATTACACCAATCATTAAAATGAGGACATGTTACAATATCAAGAGATGATTTTGATTTTTATTTCCATATTTTAGAATTTATTGTGAAATATATTTAAAATTTAAAAAAAAAGTACCATAACAGAAGTAAATAACCACTCACCAACATTAGTAATTCATTTCATTCCGTCTTTTTTCCATTTCAGTTTCATTCAGCCATCAAACTTCATGACTATTCCTCTTCCGACTATAATTTATTAACTTTCAGAAAATTCATAATTCTTATTTTTATCATTGATCAACCTTACTTACATCAGTCGTCAATTGCTTAAATAATTTGATAAGTGAAAAAAAACGCGGAATGCAGCCCGCTGCTATTTTAAAATGAATGAATAAAAAAAAACACTGTCATCAATTTCAACATTTAAATATTGTAAAAAGTTCATTTAAAACACTCATTGTTCTGTTGTTAAAAGCCTTCATGCAAAAGATCATAACCATTCTTTACCAAAATCAATTAATTAGCAGTGGCAATAAAAGGTATTTTTGCGGCAATGCCAATTTTATTATTTATATTTCTGAACCTACTCATATCATTATTATAATAATGATTCATGAATAAGTACTGAAAACTTTTTTTTCTCTCTCCCATGCAGATTATTTCTTCATTAACTCAAAATTCCCTATGATCACAGCGTTTGGGAAATCTTATTGAACGTGTATTAACTCATTTAAATTATAGTCCTTCCATTGCGAGATGAAAAAAGAAGATAAAAACATTTAATATGCTTCATATTTGACAAGTTTTATATGAACATTGAAAGCATGCTATGCTTAACAGTAAAATAATCGTTTTTACAGTACTACTTATCCTCTGTTCTAATCATTACTCTCATTTTCTTTTATAATGCAAAATTGACACATCACACTCTCGCAGTTTTTTTTAAATCTTAAGAGACAAGATTTTTTAGCAGTAAGCACAACTTTTCTATTTTCTGATAACAGGCTACCAAATATTGCAAACAATGACGATCTTCTTGATCATTACACTTTATAACCATTCTCCACTATGCACACTTATACCGTAATCAGTCAAGATCAGATGATATGTTTAATTCCCGAGATGATGATACCTGGTAATATGCAAACAATGTCGCATCTATATATTTGAATTATAGATAATGGCAAATGTGAAGTGAGAAATTACTGATCAGCTTTTATTGATAGGTTGATAAACGACAACAATTATTGATAAAGCTTATTATTCTTACTAGATTTTCTTAGCAATTCTACGTACTTCACGTGACAGATACAACGATTTTTGACATTTAGAAGTCATTAATTTAGTATTAAACAATAAACGTAACCGCTTCTATTCCCACTATTAGACTGCATTTCTTCAAACCTGAGAAAAAAATTATGAAAAGAAATAAATTTTATTAATTTAATCAGCACAGTCTACAGTCTTCACACTACTTTTTTATCATTTATACGATTTTCAATGGCTTATTATACTCAGAAAAAGAAACTTTATGCAAATATAGTTATATCCATAGTTTGTCCTTGAAATGTATATTACACACTAAGACGGTACCTTTTCTTCTCAAATCGAGGTTAAAAATATTAAATCATCGATAGTTTTATTGAAGCCATGATTGATTGATGAGTTCAATAAAGCTATCGGTAATTTAACAAAATTTCACGACCAAATATATATTCTTTTTTCAGTAATTTGAGATTCAAGAATTCTCAATGTAGTTCATCAATTTCGATTATTGCAGTGAAAGAAGACATAAGTTGGTTGATTCGAACTGAATTGAGTGATTTATTCTTTATCGTACTCAAATTTCAATTTTTGTTGCATAGTCTTGAATTTTAATTGAATAATAATGACACTAAGCTTTTGAGTCAAAACAGTATATAATTAAAATGATAAAAATAAGATGATGGTAATCGATCATTTACAACAACAACAAAATAAATTTGAAGTTGAGATCAAAAATAAACATTTTTTATTTATTTTTATAATACTGTTCATTTTTACAACAAAATTCACATCAAATAATTAAATTATGAAAGCGAAATATAAATTAAACTATGGAAACGACCTCTTGAATTATCGAAATCGTTACAAATTTATCGATATCATCATTTGAACTACTAAATTATTCTTGGAAGAAACATTCAGTACTAAAAATGGGTCAGGTACTGTGGCAGCTTGGTTGGGAATTCCTAGATTGAAATGATGGTAAGTTCGAAAAGGGAATTATTCAAAAATTCGACGGTTAATTTTATCTTTCTGTGGGGAGCCGTAGAAACATCAAACATAATATGTTAAAACAATAAAATTATTTATTTTTTGTATTCCTTGATAAGGATTCATCACATTACAAATTTCAATGTTTTCTCGCACCGGTTTGCTAATTTATAAAAAATTCTTATGCATCAATCTTCTACGCAATTGGAGAAAGCTGCGTAATTTTCGTTTCTGTATTTATAAGCCAAACCTGCTTAGCTAGAACAAAAAGGGTTTGTTAAGCGGGTTGAAGAGTAATGGTAATGGCAATTGTAATCGTAATTGTAATTTCGATATTGCTTATACCTTCAACTCTTTATTATATTTCAATCTTCTTCAAGTTAGTTGTCTACTACGCTAACAATTTACAAACACTGGTCAATCAGTCTTCTATTTGACTCATTGCACGTAAGTACTTCCTTTTGCTATAACTAACTCATTCACTCAGTAAGTAATTCATGATACTCTCTGAAAATTCGTAAATATCATATTTATGAATATCGCACCTCATTGCTCATTTTTATAGTCCAACACAATCGTTAGATGAAATAGTTCAAAATTTAACAATTTATTTTGTTATAATTTTTACTTTGAAAACACTTTTGTACTTCTTTAATACTTTACTAAGGTTTCCAGTTGTTGCCTGAAGAGATATTTTAATTTGCACTGAACCAATTCATCTTATCAAATATGTTAACATTAATTAAAAGCTCAATATCTCAGATGTTTATAATTTGTACAATTTCAGTAATTGAAGCGGTACGAGATTCTCCCAACAGCGTCATTGTAATTCCTTTCGAACAAACAATTTATTCAATTTATCAGAAAAGCATGACAGAAAAGAGCTAATAAAATCAAATCAGGATGCAATTGAGGAAAACAAGCCGATATCAGCATATAAATGTTACCATCTTATTTCAGTGTTATATATGGACCTGCAAATATATTGGTTTCAATGAAAGAAAAATAGCGGAATCAAATAATTGTCATTGCTGATCCGGAAGTGATGCTAAAGCACTTCGAAAGCAATGTAAAAAATATCATCTCTCATGAGTGATAAAAAGAGACAATCACTACTGAATGAGTGTCACTGACCACTAGCTATCAAGCAAAACGAACAACAAACTGTAAGATGGCCGATAAATAAATAACCGCTTAACAAATGGTTCATCGCTTGACTTAAAATTAGCATTATAATATATGTAAGAGTAAAATTGTAGCAATTTTTGAATGGCCGAAGTGATAAATAAATAAACCTTCTAAAGCAAAATTGTGTGCTTTTGAACATACTATTGTTTGTTCGTTTGCAAAAAATGATTTGATATTCTTAAAAGAACCTGGAAACATATTTTCATTGTTTCTATAGGTCATTGCAGCTTATGAGTTAGCACAAACAGTAATATCAATTATTTTATAGAATTACTGAAGTTCAAAAATGAAGCGTTCTTGGAATTTCAAGATCATCAGCATGCTGAAAAATTATTATTTCAAACATGTTTGACATATTTGAGGGAAGATAATATAATGCACGCTGAATGCACAGAATATCAATTTTAGGAAGTTTTGAATGGCGGAAGTGGTGAATAAATAAATCTTCCAAAGTAAAACTGTGTCATAAGTGAGGGAAATGGAAGTGGACGAAAGGCATGAAAACTATTCAAAATGTGTATCATTTGCTGGCAGCAATCATTAGTTCTCTAAATACTGCCGTACAATCTCTACTTAGGTCCATTTCGTCCTCTACGATATTTCCATCCCTTCCATGTGGAAGCTCTCTATCGACAGATTGATAATGGAGAAGGAGGAGTGTTATTAGTGGAATAATGATCATGTCAACGATGCTGCTGGTGATGTTGACGATTATTGTCATACAACCGACATCGTTATCCTCTGTCTTCAGTAGCCTTTTCTAGACTTTCAATAAAAAAATTTCATAGTGTTGAAATTCAGTATTTAAAGCTATTACAAGTATTATCATTTTCAGAAATGACATCTCTACAGTTGAATTAACAATTGAAAGATGAAGCATTAATTGCGTAGATAAAAAGAACAAATGCCGCCTCAAACAATTTGCTATCAGTTGAAGAAGGAAAAGTCAAAAAACAACAGTTCTTCTCCTGTAACAAATTTGCGCATGATGCTGTGGAAGCCTATTAGTCACTGTAATGTTTGTTGTAATATGCTATTTCTACCTGTTATTTTTCTCTTCCACTGGCTTTCATCATCAGTGGTCTGTGTGGAAAATACTTACCTGCAAAACCCAATCATTGGTTCAACTACGGATCGTTCCTGTCAACGCCCGCCTGGATGTGAACTTCATTGTCCATTCGGTTATCAGATTGATCCATTGGGGATATGTTTATGCACTTGTCATGATGCCCCCTGTCTTGTAAGTTGTCTGTGCTCAATTCCTTATATGCTTATATAAGCGTTTCTAATTAATATTATTTTATTTCTTTGAAAATTAACATTATATTATTCTTTGAAATGCATTACTATATCGGCTATAACCATAATCAGTAAACAAACACGTTGTACTTATTACTATTGATTTGTGTTAGTAAATTAATCAGCAACAAGATTAATATGTTTCTGTTGCATAACCAATTAGTTTCAGAAGTTTTTGATTTAGCCCACCGATTTCTGAGAATTTAATTTAAATTGATATTTGAACTTTTTCGAACAAACACTTTGAATTCATGGAGAACAATTGTTCCCACCATATTCTAATGAATAATTGTTACAAATTATTTGCTTAAGCCAAATGTGTCATGTTCTTTATTGGAGAAATTGAGCAGTAATTTAAATTTCAGAACTGTTAACTGTTAAGTTTTAATCTTCAATTAAAAATACTTGATTTTATACATTGAATTATTGATATTTGAAGATAAGAAACGAATTTTATTGAATTTAATTAAAAATTTGTGAAATGAACTGAATTTATAATGGGAAGAAAAAAAATCTTTAGTCAAAGATATGTGCACCAAACGAATATTGCCGATATAATAGCGACGGTGCAGCAGTTTGTGTACCACAGATTGGTGAGTTTACAGGTACCATCGCCATTGTTGTTAATGTGAAACATAAATTATCGCTATTTTATTAATTTATTACTTATAATATATTCGAAACTCAATGCCTCGTATAACGGATCGCGAAGACACGGAATAGAATCGAATGAAAAGAAACTGGAATAAGTTAGACAGAAATTACAAAGTAATGATTTAAAATAACTTTTGTAAGGAAATTAAATTTCATCGCTACTCACTATCGATGGGACATATAATGTTAAGTTCGTGCATTTTACTTTTTCGAAAGCATTTTAAACAATGATAAGCTGCATCGGCTCTAAAGTTTTGTTGTGTAATTGCTAATATTTATAGAACTTTACAGAGCTTGATTTACAGAACTTTCCCAAAAGCGCTTTTTATCAAACTTTTTGATTCAAAATTCTCTTGAATTAATTGAATTATTTAATGCAAACAAACACTATGTGAAAATAAGCGAACCGTCAAAATGAACCGAAAGAAAATATTCCGTTTTTGCTTTCAAGCAAAAAAAAAAAACATTATTACCTATTATAGCAAACAGAATAGAATTATAAAAAATGAAAAAAATGAAAAAGAAGGTTAGAATTTAAACTTTGAGCATTTGCCACTGTCAGATCGCTTGTATTGTGAAATTTCTTAATTATTGTAACAATCACAAATACAAACTAAAGACGATTGAGCGAACAATTAAAGTGTCGGTTAAATTCGTAATTTCAAGGTAGTAATTTAAGTTTTGCAGTATCACAATCAGGTGGAAATAGAGTAGCTGTAAGGCCAAGTGAATGCCCACGTCTTTTCGATGGTGCATGTATACATCAGTGTAACAGTGATAGTGAATGTGGTAGCAATATGTTGAAGTGTTGCAGTAACGGATGTGGTCGAGAATGTGTCGTTGCACTTAGTCCACAAGCGATCGTAAATTCACTTTCAATTCATCCTCTTCAAATAACTGGTCAGTTATTCATTTAAAAAAAAAGTTATGGAAATTGCAAATACGAGTAATGGAGATGAACGCTAAAGTTTCACAATTTAGTGCTTCAGATATATTATAATTTATTCAATTCTTCGATACAGTTAGCAAATTGCTTTACAGTAATATTTCTTGAAATACACACATTATGCTGAAGGTAGAATTTAATGTCTCACTACAATTTCATATCAGAAGCAATTACGACCAAAATAAATACTGAAATTTGAGTCTCAATTATCTGGTGTTATTTATTTCAATCAAACCTATAAAATAAACTTGTTTTAGAAACCAGTTTACTTTGTTCAATTGAAATTATCATATTTCAAGCATTTAATTTTTTACTATTCGCTAAGATTTCATGCAATGCAATACTTGAGATAAGTAAAATGCCTCTAAGATGCATGGTCTGTAAAATAGCCTGAAATAACTTAAACCTTTAGCTAAATAACTATCAGTAGTACGGTTTATTCATGGTCAATTATTCATTAATTGACGAAAATTATAATCAATGATTTTTTTGTTACATAAAAAGGACAAAAGAAAGAAAGAAAAAAAATGTGGAAGATGAAAGAAGTGTTTTAAGGATATTCTAATCGAATAGGGAAATGTCCATTAAAAAATTCCATAAAGAATCAAAAGTGTGCGATAGAATGCATTTATGATGATGAATGCCCCTCGGTTGAAAAATGTTGTGATAATGATTGTGGTCGTGTTTGCACACCACCTGATAAAGCAACAGGTATCTGTATCATATCTAACTTTATGAGAATGATAAAGTATAAAAAAAAGTTTTTGGTTGCTTCAGAATAAAGAAAATAGATTAGACTATTTTCCTCAAACAATTTCATGGAGATTAAATCTGTAAAATTATAAAATTAAATTAATTTTCACTTTTTTGCTAATGAGTAATTCCTTTATGCTCTTAGCTAAATTTTACAACAGACTGCATACATCTTGCATCAGCAGTAAATCGATTACCCGAGAAAACGCTTATAAGAGGATATGTGCCAAAATGTACAGTTAATGGACAGTTCGAGAATATACAGTGTGATGATAGTTTTTGTTGGTGTGTTGATGAAAAAGGCACTGAAATCACTGGAACAAAAATTATAAGAACAATTGGCTTACCAGATTGCTTACGTAAGCCTTGTGTAAAAGTTTATTCTCAATGAAAAAAAAGTAACGTCTGTTGAATTTAAATTTATTGAAATTGAGGATTAAAAAAATAACGTTGCCTTCTCATCCTAGCAAACTATTGGAGCAGAGATAATGATATTGCTGTATTTAAAATGAATGAAAAATTGTTTAATTTTCATGCTTTAATTGTACTATTTAGAAAGGCGAGAATGTAAAGCTAAGTTATGTTTAAAAGCATGTCCTTTTGGCATTAAAACGGACCAAGAAGGTTGTCCGCTGGATAATTGCGACTGCCGGGACCTTTGTGAAGAAGTAAAATGTATCAATGACATTGATATATGCCAAATAGTTGAGCCTGATTGTGAAAAACCGCCGTGTTTGCCAGTGCCTAGATGTGAGTTCAGGTCACTTTAAAAATTTAAATCTGATTTAATTTCGATTTTTCTAACAGCAACTTCATGAAAGCTCAACTTATTACTCAACCGATATTCTGTTGTTTTGTTTCATCAAATTACATTTAAAATATTTTTATATTCATAGGTTTATTAAATCCCTGTCCAAATGGATCACCAATGACTTTATCAAACGGCGTGACAGCATTATGTACTGACACAAATCAGTGTTCACCTAATTATTGGTGTCATCAGGTAGCTTGAATTCTGAAATCATTGCTTTGTTTTACTTCTTAGTTTACAGGTGTGGAGGACAACGATTAAAAAGATCTAAGAAACTTCAACGTATTCAATGGTGATCGCTGTAGTTTTTTCTTTTGAAATGAAAAAATAGGTTTCTTCGATAGGGCAAAGTTTTCCATAGAAGTAATTACCCAATTCTGTCTACTAAAATATGATATTGAATAAATGAATAACAGTATATTTTCGGAATTCATTTTGCCAAAAATTGCGCATATGGTTTTTTTCCTATGATGATCACATAGAGTTAATAATCGGAAATTCTGCTAAATGCGGTAATTATTTCCTGTCCAGTTTTTCATTTTGCTGCTGTTTTCATGCAACTTCAATTGTTTTGTACTAAATAGTTTTTTTTAATAATCGAAAATTCTTTCTAAAACTTTTGGAAGTATAATAGTAAATTCGAATTCAACTTAAGCTGTCAAATTATATGCATCATTTGTAAAGTATCTGTCAAAAGTTTTAAGTTTTATAAATTTCATTTTTTTTAGATTCAAACAAGCAAAACTATATTTAAAAAATATTTCTCATGACATTATTTTTATTTTTTTTTCAAATTTCAGTCACATTTAATCTCTTTTAAATCATAATTTTGTTTTTTATTTCAGATCGGTTTTAATGGTTTTGGATTTTGCTGCGCCCTCCCAGAATCGGTAGTGCATAGCGGAAATTGCGTTCCAATTTTATCACGATCCTCCAAAAGTAGTAAATCTGAATGTCACATTGATTCAGATTGTTCAAAACAAGCAAAATGTTGTTTCGATGGCTGTGGCTTAAAATGTATGCTCAATAGGGCATGTATTCATTATTTTTGCGTTAATTACTCCATTCAAAAACTATCATCAGAAAACATTTGATTGCCAAAGTTCAAATTTACAAATGAAAATTATATTTGATTAGTTTCTCTCCATAAATTAGCTCAAGTTAAAGAATATATTCGTAAAATTATTGTGGCAAAGCACCTAACCTATTGTAATTTCATAGTAATGAACTTAAAAAATATTATACGCAAATATCGTTTTCATTTTTTTTCAAGTTAATTATGAAAATATTTGTTTTACACGTTACTTTTTTACTTCTTCTTTACGCCTATCTGAATACTTTTCTAAAAGACAACAAAAGATATGATCGGTTCTTGAAATTCCATTGGCCAAAGAGTGAAATTTAAATTGCAGGCACAAAAGTACAACAAATTGCGGAATGTCCAGAAGTACAACAGTATCACGATTTAAAAAAGTGTACAGTAGAATGTAAGGTAGATCAGGATTGCCCGGGTATTAAAAAATGCTGCACATATAACTGTTCTGCTCTTTGCTTATTTCCAACTAAAGTAACAGGTAAATTAAAGTATTTTCTTTCTCTCGACATTCAAATAACTTTCAATTCTAGCGTTGATTTCAGAATGGAAATAAAATTATATGAAAGTGAAGTTCGCCATTTCCCTGCTATAAGAAACAAATAAAGTGATTAGATTTTTTGAATTTAAAGATATCATTAATTTTATTAAAATGTCTTACTTCAATGTTTACGACAACTATAATACTTTAGCATGTCTTCACGAACTTATCACACATGAAATTTTTGGATACGATCGTGCACCAAAATGCAACGATGAAGGAAATTATGAGCAAATACAGTGTCATGATGATTTCTGTTACTGTGTTGATACAGTGAACGGTAACGAAATTCCAGCAACTCGAACAGCATTACATACAGAACTCGCCTGCAATGGTATCTTTTTTTTTTAATAAAAAATTTTTTGAAACACTATATTCAAAATTATTTAAATATTTCCTATTATATAAATGTCATTTAAATGTTTAATCAAATGCTTAGTATAAAGCGCTATACTTCATATTATGTTTCCGCGTACTTTGGCATATATTCTCGAACACTACGAATTCTTTTTTTGAATATTTATGCCGAGAATCAGAAATTTATCAGAAAAGCCAATACTAAAAGAATTAGGATTGATATAACAGCAATTATGTTGAAACTTTTGGTATAATCAATTATGCTCGAATTAACGTTATTACTCAAATTGTGACTCATAAGGCGTGTATTAACATTTTTGAATCTGATACGTTAATTAAATTTAATTTGATCCGTCAATTAAATTTATATAATTATAGAACTGATTTTAAATTAAGTTAATTAGAAATTTGAAGTCAAAACTGTAATGCAGCCTATTAGCGAAATCTTACGCAAATTGGTTCTTCATTTTTGCAGAAAGACGAATCGACTGCGAACCATTTAGATGTTCCAAAATTTGTGCATATGGCTTTAAATTAACAGATGAAGGATGCCTGTCATGTGAATGCTATAATCCATGTAAAAAAATTTTATGCTCGCAGGGATATATTTGCGTGATGGCAAGCGTGAAGTGTTTAGAAAATGTATACTGTCCTGATCAACCGCGCTGTAAATAATTTTTTAACACTTCAAAGTTCAAGTTCTTTATGAAAACAGAAAATGTTGTAAAGGATTAATACTTGATGTAAAGGATTAATACTTGATCTTACTAGGCATACAGCTATGCTAAGAAGATAGCAGCAGTCTCGCACGTGCACAGATGTTCTGGCATGAATTTAGTGGATTTAAAATTCCTTTTTTGAATCTAAAATTATATACACAAAATATGTAAATCTGTATCAGTGTTTAATTATGTAGCTGCATTTAAGGTGTACCAGACGTTTGCTCAACTGATGATTCGTCAGTAGTTCCACCAATACTTTGCAAAAGTAAGCAGAACTGTCCAGATGATTACTGGTGTAATAATATTGGTATACAGTCTAAAGGCCTATGTTGTCCACTACCTTCAAAGCAGCTTCGCATTGATGCAAAGTGCAAATCTGTGGAACCGTTCATTGAACATAAAAAACCATGTGATACTCACTGTAGAACAGGTTTTTTTTTTCAGTCTGTCCATTTAGAAATTACACTTTTAAATTTTATTATTTCCAAACAAGGAAATTATTTTCTTGAATGAAAACGGATGTAAAGCATGCGTAGAGAGAATGGATACGATGATACTAATAACAACAAATAATTTATAGATGATGAATGTGCAATCGGTACAAAGTGTTGCTATGATGGTTGTGGAACGACCTGTGTTCAAATATCAGGTTAATTTCATTCAATTTCATCCTTAATATGAAAATTGTTAAAGTAGAATTTTATCAGAAACTATAAAGATTTCAACTTTTGCAGTCATATCTAATATAACACATACTGATATATCAGTAGGATGAATGTGTCCTAATGAAACAGTGAATTACGAATTTGAAGCTACACAAATCTATTTAAAATAAGCGATTATTTTAAAGTTGGAAAAGTTCTGCATGATCAGGTGCGGGATGATACAACTATCCGGAACAAATAAGAGACTATCCTGAGAAACTTTTTTTGTCAATTGCAATAAAATATAATTGCTGAAAATTTAAAGCAAATAATTTAGGTTGTCTGCAAGCAAAAATTGCTTATGACAAACTTGGTCAAAAAGATACAATTGGCTGCGATGAATGTATAAGCTTCTTGTTGAAAATTTGTCTTTACATTACTTTTAATTTTATAGTTACAGCAGCTTCATAAGCTCAGATTCTATTAACAATTCTCGTAGAAATTACTTCTTATTGTTTAGCTATTCATAGTCTTTTAATAATTAAGGTATGTGTTACTGTTTATTTTATTTGAATTTGTAAATTTGCATTTACTGCAGATGGCAACTATAAAGATATACAATGTAATACATTATATTGTTGGTGTGTTTCTAAAACGGGCGTGGAATTGGAAGGAACTAAAGTATTGAATGAAGAAACACCAAACTGTCGAGGTTAGTTAATATTTCAAGAGATCAAAGCATCTAGAGCTCTATTTAACACTTTTTTTCAATTTTCTTACATGAAATATCCTAAAATTTTAAAAATTTACGTTGAAAAATTATAAGATTGATTAAAAATTTTTTTAGCGCGGCGATTGTGCACGCCACGTCATTGCCCAATGAAGAAAAATTGCGTGTACGGATTTGAAACAGATAGGAATGGTTGCGTAACATGCGATTGTTTCAATCCGTGTAAGGTGATGTCACTTTGTTTTATATGGTACTCGCAGTTGTATTTTTTTGTAGATAATCTTTTTCTGCATCAATATTATTTCGTTCAGATAAAGAAAACTTTTAAATAGAAAAAAAAATTAATGAATTTTTTTTTGCTTTTTTCTTCTCGTCAGAAATGTCATTAAAGCAAAGAAATCTATCAACCTTTGCTGAATGTATTATAAATTCGACTGGCAGTAACCATATAATTTTGTAAATAACAGTATCAGTAATTAGTTTGATTATGTTTTTTTATTGTTTTCATCCGGATCCCGAAAAGTTTTATAAACCTCATATTTTCAGAATCCTTTAAAACTATTTCGTTATTTGTTACTGATACGACATTAAGACTGATCCATACAAGAATGGGATTTCAGGATATTATTTGCCCAAATAAAAGCGAAATATGTGTGCCCCAATTGACGGAATGTATTGAAAGTCCGTGTCGTGCTGTACCGAACTGTGTTGCAAGCACCTGTCCAGAAGGATTGCCAATTATCGATGAGAATACCTTTGAACCGTTTCCCTGTAACAGTAACAAACAGTGCACGTTGTTGAGTGTTTCATCTTTTTGTCATACGAGCGGTTATTGCTGCTGGAATTCCGGTAATTTTCAGTTATGAGGTTTTTTAAATCCGTGCAACTTATTTTCCATGTTGACAAAATGATTGTCAATGGTTTCTCTTCCTTTTTTCGAGCGCCTTAAGTTTTTCCAAAATTTATCAAAATTTTACTTTTTGTATTGATAATATTCAATGCAAAACAGCTTATAATTTCAACATGTTAAAATTTTTGCGTCAAATATCAATTACATAAGTATAATTATGTAGAAAGCTGTAAGATGACAAGAAAGTCTAAATTTTAGCAATTTTTAATTTAGCCAGTTATATATGCGGTTAATAAATTAAAATATAATATGCAAATTAACTAAATTCCTGAAACTTTTAACATTAAGTTTCAATCAAATAAAATGAAATTCTCTGGTAGCTATTCCAATACTTTTCTTTTGAGAAAAAACGCCAGATCGAACAAAAGTATCTGAACTGGGTGAATGTCCACATTTAAGCAATAACCCTGCAAGTTGCCTAAATAACCAAACCGATGAATGTGTCCAAGATGTTGACTGTGATACGGTACAGAAGTGTTGCTCAAATGGATGTAAGAAATTGTGCATGTATCCTGAAATTACCACAGGTGTTGTTTTTCTAGCAGTCAGTATTTTCAATATTTTCAACTCATAATTGAATGAAAATATCACCATATGTTATCATTTAAAATTCATTAAAAGGTTACAACGCAAATTACAATTTTTCACCAATTTAGCTTGCATTCATTTGTTGGGTGCTTCCGAAGCTTTTGAACCAGGCTCATTTGTTCCACAATGTGATACAACTGGTAATTTTAATCGAATCCAAAAATTAGGTGCTATATTTTGGTGTGTCGATGAATCGGGTCGAGAGTTGCACGGTAAGCTGTACAATCTTTTCAACCAATCGTTCAATATTTTTTTTGCAAATGAGGAATTATAGTAACAAGAAAAAAATAACAAACGATTCATTTAGGAACACGGACTTCTCATCCATACCTTAATTGTGATCTTCCTCGGTCATGTCCGCTGTTAAATTGCCAATTGGATTGCTCTTTAGGGTATCAATTCAACTTTTCTCTTAGATTTATTTTGAAAGTAGATATTTAAACTACATTCTATAAAAATTCTATTTACATTGATGTTTATCAGGAATAAAATGAAGTGAAGTTGAAATTAAACAGGGCAAATAATGCCCATTTTTGTTGTTTTAAAAGTTGCATTCTTTTTTATAAAGACAATAAATTGTAATAATGAAAATAAGTTGTAATGTGTTACTGTTTTTAGCTATGAAAAGAACGAAAATGGTTGTGACTTATGTCGTTGTCATGATCCGTGCAAAAATGTTCGATGTCCCTTGACACACGTTTGCAGATTAATTGATGTCAAATGTCTGCTTGGAAGTTGTGATCCGATTACTAAATGTTAGTTGTTTTTTAGTGTCCACTCTGTCCCTCTTTTGTCCAGTTTCCATAGTTTTTTTTTCTATTTTCTTTCTTTAACTTCGGTGCTGGAAGTGCATTAATTTTCTTTGGTTTTTTTCCATAAAAGTTTTGTTCTCCAAACATTTTCTGTTTGCTTATATTGTGCAAGAATGCAAGAATGCAAGAATGCAGTTTAGATGAAAGGTAATTTAAAGTTCATCCATCTTCCTGCCTTCAAAGTTTCTGGAGTCTTGAGATTCAGCTACTGTATCTTTTGATTTACCCAAGAAATAAAAATGACATTACTATTAGACGAAGATTGAAGTTTGTAACTTAATCACTATTGAGTTCACAACTACATTATTTAGCAATGCTCTTCATAACATTTTTGCACTTTTCAATCGTCGACCAAAACTCCGAATTCTTTAGGTATATTAAATGTTTGCCCGAAAGGTGAACCCTTGACATTGCCCAATATGCGTAAGGTCGTACTTTGCAATACAAAAGAAAATCGCCATTGTCCACTAGGCTACTTCTGCCACGAAATTGGTATTCCGCTACCATTTGCATCATCATATTGCTGCGCTGGAAACGGTAAAGTTACTGTCATACTTCAAACGACTTTCCAGTATAATTAAATTATTTTCAAATAAATCAAAATTTAGAAGATTCAACCTTCGAAATCCAAAAAATTTCAGAAGTTTCGTTAGCCTTATGTCCAATAACGTTTGAATTTCGACCTACTGTTTCCAAAAAGTGTAAGATAAGATGCCATACTCATAATGATTGCTTATCCGGGAAATGCTGTTTCAACGGTTGTGGAACATCCTGCATGAATTTACAAGCAGAAGAAATGGACCAAAATATCGTTTTCAACTTTTCGAAAGGAGTATTTTCTAAAGGTACTGGAAGAATTCATATTTTAGTGTACACGTATTTAAGTGAAAGCTGTTTCTACCACCACCTGCTTCTCTGTCTATTTGTTAATGCTTTTTAATTGGTCATTAGCAAACTGATTAAAACATCATTTCATATGTGAATTTGCAATGTATGGACAAATTATAGAATGATTTACTAAAATATCAAATGAAGAAACTCCAAAATTTTTCCATTTGTTTATTCTTTTTGAAAATTTTCCATTTTTTATCAACTTTTTTTAGTTGGTTATTTTTAGAGTCTCATAGAGAATTTGAAAAGTTGCAAGATTGTTCAATGGATGTTATCTCGGATCAAAGCTGTAAGATTGACTGCCTCAAAGATAGTGATTGTCCAGTCTTTCAGAAATGCTGTATTAAAGGTTGCAGCAGTTTATGCGCTTTCCCCCATGCTACCACGGGTATTAATTTCATTTATGAATCCCGAAATTGCTAACTAATTATTAAAATTTATTTCTTGCTGAATTAATTACGGTAACAAAGTTTTTGAGTGGAGCTTTGAGAAATGCCACGCCTTTTCTGAGTAACTGAGAGTTAATGTCAAATTTTACAGATATCGTTTTTAAATTGATTTTGCTCATTCATACTTAAAATAAAAGATGAAGAAAAAAGAATTTTAATGAAAGCTAATAAAAAAATTAATTGAAATCAATATTGGATGAAAATGAATTTGAGTAGCACAATGGTTTCATTAAGGAATGTTTCTAGCTTGCATTCATAAATTGGCTTCTTATACCAATAAGAATAATGAGATATCTTTCAATGGACCACGAATTGATTGTAATGAAGGCGGAACATTTAAAAAAATTCAATGCGATCAACAAATCAGGTTCAGTTGATTGAAAATATACAATGATGATTAAAAAATAAAATTTTTTTTCTACGGAAAGAAGATTTGTGATATCCGTTACTTCTTAAAGTGATATCCTAACACAAATATGATAAGCATTCTGTCAAATATTCCAATGAATAACATCATATTTCCTAATTTTGAAATGAAAATCAAATATGTGTCAATCTAGGCAATGCTGGTGTGTCAACACGGAGACAGGCGAGGAAATGCTTGGTACCAGAGTTATAGCCGCTATTGCTAAACCAAATTGTCAAGGTAATTTTTTTTTTTGAAATGCATTTCATATTTTTATCCTGACTTTGGTATTATATTTTCAACTTGATACCTATTACTAGGAATTTTCAATCATTTTTACCATTCCGTTTCCTGTACTGATAAAGTAACTGTTCTGCGAAAGGTTTGTGACAACAATCGTAAACTATTCCATTTAATTAATCATTAATTATTATTATGTTGAGGTGGTTTTTGATGTACATAAAACAAATGATATGATCTGCAGCACCAATCTTTTGTTCAACGGTATGTGATCAAATGAAATGTGAACACGGTCTTCGGTTAGATATCAATGGTTGTCCACTAAATAATTTTTGCGAATGTAAGAATCCATGCGAAGTAAGTATTTTAATTTAACAAACTTTACCAATATTTTTTAAAAACGTTAAAATATTTTATTATTGAAGATATTTTTGCAAAAAAATACCTGTTAAAGTATAATTTCCACAAGTCCATAAGTTCCCTGTTGAATAGAAAGATTCGAGTTTTCAATTAAAGGAAATAAAGTGTGCCAGAAAAGAAGATATATGTGTGCTAATGCCAGTCATATGTATTACTTCACCTTGTCCTTCTGTACCGCAATGTAAGCTTCTTATTTTTTTAAATTGAAATATGAATACTTTGCATGAATTTTGGAAACTTTTTTTGCAAATGTTGTTCAAACCAATCTACCAACTACATATTTTAATTTAAAGCATCTCAAGACCATGTGAAGATTTTCAGGTAAATCAAATCCTTGCCCAAAACATTCGGAAGTTTTGCGGGACAAAAATAATAATGTATTTTCATGTGTGCAAAATGAAGACTGCAGTACAGGCTTGTGTAGATTATTGCCGAATGAGCAAAGACATGGAATTTGTTGCACTTCAGGTATTTGGTTTCATATAAAAACGGTAACAAGCAGTTTGTTATTTGAATAAATTATATTTAATATATATTTAAATTTGTCAACTGAATTCATTTTTGCTAGACAAGCTTAATATTTAGTAATAATTGTTGATCAATTTAGGGTGGAGTAAGTAGGTACCACTTTTTAATATTTCGTTATGTAATTTAAATCAGTTACTGTTTAGAAATTATAATTCGCACGAAATGAATTCTTTTCCTTTCATACTAAAAATATTTTAAGTGATACAATGATTACAGGTACAGGTAGGATAGATGGAATAATTTTAAAGCAAAAATTGGGAGAATGTCCTAGAATTGCTCCTTCGAAGTCGTTGTATACAGAAAGTTTGTTTTCTTTTGTTAATAAATTTATTAACATTTATTTATCGAAGATTACAAACATTGGTAAAAATTTCATTGTTCAGATTGTAGCATGGAATGTTCCAATGATTCAGCATGTCCTGAAGTACAGTTATGCTGTGATTATGGTTGTAGCAAAATTTGCGTCATTCCAGAAGTTGCAACAAGTACGTTATTTTTGATTTGACATTAAAAAAGAAAAATTCCTAGCATTATTTTTTTTTCAATAAAAAAAATTATTTTACTGATTATTTTCAATTATTTTAAGATTGCATTTTACTACATGCTTCCATCACTAAACTTATTCATTCTGGCGCTATTGTCAGCTTGCGTATACCGTGGTGTAACAAACATACGGGTAAGCGAAAACTTTCACAAGAAAATTTTCGAACTTTCAAACTTCTAGACTTTGAAACTAAGTACATTTGATGTACATTTATAAAAAAACATTTTTTGCTGATACATAATTTACAGGTATGTTTGAAACAGTTCAGTGTAATGATCTCAATGATTGTTGGTGTGTGAACGCGGTGACCGGCGCTACAATCCATGGTTCAAGAAGTTCAAAGATGAAATCACTCGATTCATCTCTCACATTTTCATATGATGTTTGTTCCAGTAAGTTTCATTTTCACTGATAATGAGAATAGTTTTTGACTTATTAAATTCGACCCATTCTTTGTGTATTTTTATAACAGATAATAATAGATATTTAAAAAATTTAGAAACTGAAAATAGTCTAGAATTAGATTTGAGAATATTTACTATCACTTTGAACTTTAACTCAAAATTGATGAAATAATACTGACCTGGTTATAACACATTTTCTCACTGATCTTTGTAAATGTTTAAATACAATTCGAGAACTTAAATAATTAGAGTTTAAGATAAAAAAAGCTGCTCAATTAGCTGCAACGATGCGATTTGTCCATTAGGTTTTGAAATGGATGCAAATAATTGTCCGAAAGATATTCACTGCCGTTGTCGCAATTTATGTGATGCGATACGGTGCTCCGATAATAAAGTTTGCATGTTGAGACGGAAAAATTGTTCTGAATCCACCTGTATTCCTGTACCATCATGTCAGTTTTCGTTTTTAGCTAATGCTCAAAAATAATATTCACTAAGTATATAAAGTATTATCTATGTTCGTTTTCTTCTTACCTACATTAAATTTCATTGTTTGTATTTTTTTGATCATTTGATTTCAATTTTAATTTGATATGACATTTCAAAGCATCACTTTATCAAAATCTATTTTTATTCCTTTAAAGGTTCTCTGTTGTCGAAGATATGTTCTAATCGCATCTAATATTTATGATATTGACATCACTATTTTGTTAGGTGAACCAAATCCATGCAGTGATATCAGTAAGCCAGCATTAGATGAAACAACTTATATTCACTTGTCTTGTTCCGAAAATCACACTGAAATGTGTCCTCCTGCATATTACTGCGCTGGTTATGATACGTCCAGACAAGGAGTTTGTTGTCCAAGAATCAGTATGTTTTGGATTATCTGCTTTGTAAATTAATTAATCAGTTTTAAGTGTTTGCAAAATTTTAAGTATAATAGTTTAATTTAATCAAAAAAAACTGAACATTGATATGATTCTTAATTATAACGCCAAGCATTAAATATTAGAAATATTAATTGTAATTAATTTTAAGTCACTTTTCAGAAACAAAAGAAGCGAGAAGCGATATGGTAGGCTGCCCTCACGGCAATCCATTTTCAAACAAAGCTGATGGATGGCCGTTAAATTGTAGTCAATCCGGAAATGACTGTCCTTCTACACATTACTGTTTCACAGCATCTGATCAGTCATTCGGTGTTTGCTGCGTTTCTAAAAGTTTGTTTTTAACTTGAAATGGTATCTTGAATACATTCTGATCCAGTTTTAGACTTTATAATGATTTGCGGAAAATCGCATTCATTATGTTTACAGATCTTCACATTAATTAACATTTATCGAAATAGTCTAACACAATCATTTGAGTTAAAATTATAGAAAAATGAATTTCAAAATTTCTTTTTTTCAAAAAAGAAGAATGAATGAATCCTAAAATATGTACACAATTTCATTAATTGCTCTGTCTAGAATTTGATTAAAACCGTACCTCTGGTAGAGTCAAATGAATGGTGAATTTTAAGCAAAACAAAAAAAGTTAATCAGTAATTAACTAAAAAACATCGAGATCTAAATTATCTTAACAAACATTACTGAAAATTTCCAGGATATGTTTGTCATTTGCCGCTGGATGCTGGACCTTGCACGGTTAATCTTAAGCGATATTACTACAATTACACAAATAATACCTGTGTTTCATTTAACTACGGCGGTTGTTCAGGCAATTCAAATAACTTCATCAATAGAAAACATTGTGAGAAATTCTGCCTAGACATCAATGTTGGTCTCAATGGTTTCTTCACTGATACTGGCAAAGTAATTGAAACTTACCAGCTTGGATTTTCCCTCACAGGACCTTTGTTTCGTAAAAAACATCAACAAGATATAAACGAGTATGTTGCTGAATTATACTTTTTCAAATTACTTAAAACCGAACAGAAAATTTCTAAACACACTTCGAATTTCCAAGATGCTTTTGCTGTTGGGATTTTTCATTTTTACACTTGCTTCAAGCAAATCTTGCAAATTTCGAAAAATATTACAGAGCATTTCGTGAGTACATGAAAAAAAAATTCGATATCGGTGATGACGAATTGAGAGATATTGTTATCAGTGATGATAATATGGTACAGTTTGTATTGAGAAGTGAAGATGCTAAGTTGAAAGCAGCTGATATTTCTGATGTGGTAAGCATCGTGTTATTTAGAGGGATGTGTTGTCAAAATTCCATGTTTCCTCCTTCTACATTGACAAATCCGGAATCTTGCGGAGAAGCTCACGTTTTCCACTGTTGAAAAAGAGGACTTCATTCCGGTTGTAATTACTTGACGTTTTACATAATCAGGTCAGTGAAGGTTCTTTTCGGTTCACCTACAATGGCGATATTTACCGGGCAGAACCGCATTCTTGGACCAGTCATCGTATTGCAGAAAAAAAAGCGTTATGTGGAAAGATATTTTTATGCGGTAAAGTAACTTTGCAACAGTTGAAAATCTTGAAATTTCAAGACTCAAATTTAAGAAAAGGAAAAGCGCCAGATGATTTATGATCCAAATTCAGAGATTGCACTTCCTAATAAATCTTAGGTTTATATAAAATATAAAATAATTAAAATTGCAGTGCTAGTCGGAGTTTCAATCATTCTTGCGGTCATCGTTCTGACATCACTATTGTGTGCTTGTGTTAGTGTTTTCCAATAAAAAAAAATCATTCTTATATGTTCACGTAAGATTACATTTTCAAAACACTCAGATCAAGCATGCAGATTACAATGCCAAAATTGAATTTTGCAGCGTTTCCTGTACAAAAAAAGAGAAAATAAATCATCATTGGGAGGCATCACATCCTCCCAGTATGCAGCTCGTACAGATTATGCAACACCGGCAGCGATCTCAAGCACTCCGAAAAGCGGTACTTCTTCGGAACATTTCGAACAACTGGTGAGGTGGACATTTTATCAGTGAAATTTGATTCAGCTATATCGAATTGATGTGCAGTTATTTACATGTGAATTATAATTAGAGCTGGAGGAAATTGAGATTAAATGTGCAGCGGCTCCGTTTTGTATTAATTACTTCACTGCTTTTTAAACCACTTTGCTAACTAATTTAACGAAAAGAAAATTTCAGATGGAATCAGAAAACCGACATCATTATCGACAAACAGTGAATAAAGAAAGAGATTTATATGAAGTGCATAAAGCCCTCCAAACACCTGGTGGACTTCAACGATATCGCACCACCGTCTACTATTAATAAATATTCTTCTGTTTTAATTGAATCCTAAAAAGAGATAAATTGAAAAAAAAATGATTTCGTGTTACGAACGTTTGCTTCTGAAATATTCTTGCACACATCTTTTATTGACATTATTTTCAATTTATAAGCAAAGATTGTAAAATTACATTTTGAAAAATCAGTATTTGTTAGATGAAACTTAAAAGAACCTTCCTTGCCTTGACTGCATCCACTCTTTGTCCTTCACCAAATCACTATGATAAATTTGCTTGAAACATATGAATGATGGATGTATCAATTTCGGATCACTGTATTTCATACAAAACGGAAAGTGCATAAGGATGTGAAACATATGAATGATAGATGAACGTTTCATACAAAAAGAATTACTTTCCATTTGAAGATATAGAAAGTGAACAAAAAAAAAAAAAAGTTCACTCCGCGATATCCAGGTTTCTTTGTTCCTTCGGAGGTTAGACTTTTTCCCTGCGAACTGCGGAACATGCAAGCACATCGAGCTCGCTTGCGTATCCCACGAAGCGATACAGTACACGTAAAGAGAGAACACCATAGAGAAAGCGCATTGGACGATGCAATCAGACAGGAGAACGGGCAACCTGGTTTCTCAGCATCTCTATTCCCAACGATTTTCTCTAGTTTCTTTTGCCCACTTTACTGTACTATTTCTCACCTTGTCGTTACGACTAGTACGACTGCGTGAGTGTGGCGCCATATCCTTCAGTTCCGCAGCTGATCGATTAGGGTGCGTGGTCATCGGACTGACATTGTTAATGAGTGTAAGTTATGGTGGTAATGTGGTACTGATGAAAGGTACGTGAGGTTGCCTAATCCTTTCTTATTGATTTCTAGTTCACGCACGGTACAACTATCGAAATCGAAGTGATGGAATTCTGGTTCCACTGCAACTACTGTACACGACGTCCGGAAAGTTGGACTGTCATTCCAGCTTATCGTCTTACCAATTGTGGTCACATTTTATGCACCGATTGTGCTCATTATACCGGTTGGTCTCTCTTATTATTAGTTGTCACCGCACATTCTTTCTCTCTTCTCCATTCCAACAGTGACACTTGCAGATACGGTAAAAATTTGCAAATTTTGTCAGCGCGTTGGAGTTTCAATTCGTCCAATTGATAGAACATTACCATTTCATATACAGAAATTCTTCATGGTAGGTGTTTGCTTATATCATGCAAAATTGTAAATACATATATAATTCTCATTTTCCTGCTCTTTTCATGCATGCATTCGCGCGTATCAATTTACATTTTATCATGAAGTACTGTTAAGAAACAAGATGTTACAGTTCTTTACCGGCATTATACAATCTCTGTGCAACAGTCAACCTACACATCCAACATTTAGACATTTGAAGTCTGCAATTTACTCCTCAGTCGTTCAAAACTAAAGTTTATTAGTGGATGCTATACTGCATGCTATGCTTTGAATTTAGGTGCAACTAACATTTATACTTTGTGTTTTTTTTTTAATTTTGAAATATTTCAAAATACTGAAGCCTCCGAAAGTGTTAATGGAAGCGGCAGAAAAACGCATTAGAGAGGCAATTGCATTCCAAAATTGTCAGAAGAATTTGATGGAGCGCTGCTTGATTAGAAAAGTGAGTTTATTAAAGTAGCTTTCATCTCATGTTCTGGCTTCCATTCTGCTTGCATTTTATAAAGAATTAATCAAAGCCAAAACTCGCATCTAAAGGCTGCATCTTTTGCGTACATATGCATTTTACTCTTTTTCGACATCAGTTCCTGAACATAAAAAAGGTGATAAGTATAGTTTCTATTAAATGTTGCATCAAATTTACTTTATGCAGAATTCACAATGTAGCAATAATCTATAAAGTATTATGGATAAAATGGTTTTTTTTGTAACCATTTTTATTGTTTTTTGAGCATCGCGTTTACTTTTGAAAAAGCATTTTAGCGGGCAATTGAGTCTCTTTTATTTGAATGTCTTCAAACATAAACTCAGTTTTCTAATTATAGTTAGTATTGCTAAGTTTTTTCTTTTTTTGTGAAATTGAATTTAAAGCTTTCCAAAACATCCATATCATGGAAGAGACGGTATGCTTCACTATCACATTCACATATAGTTTTGTATAGAACATTTTTTTGTATAGATTGTGCAGCTTTGGAATCAACTTCAAGCAATGAAGCTGGATTTGGAAGCAAAAAGTCGGCTCGAGAAGTAAGTTCCTAATGCCTATTTTCCTGACATTTTATTGATATGTAGACACAGATTACTTAATAGTATTTAATCCCATATGCTAAATACTTTACATTTAATCCAATGTTTATCTATACTTGCAGGATAAAATTTCTTTATGGAAAGAATTAGTGAGGAATATTATGCCTATATCTTGCTCTTAATATTTCTTTCGGTTTATCGTCTAAGAAATAGCTGTAGATATTTCACTTATCCAAATTTTCAGAGAAGTAACATGTCTCAAAGACGCATTGAAATATGTGAGAAATGAATTGTTTCATACAATTAGTAAGCATCAAGAATTTGAAAAGCAGGCATTGCAGTGGGGATTTAAAGTACTTTCTATTAAAGGTTAATTCGCATTTTCTCACTGATAGCAAATCTTACGAAGAGGATCCATAAATTGGTAGCAGTTGCATGTTCTTTTACATTTATAATTAAGATACGAAAAATCAGTATGTAGTGCTTGTTAAGGTTTTCTTTTCATTTGGCTAAAGGTGAATATTTTGTTGATGTGAAATTTTATTTTTTAATAATGTAATTAAGCGATGATGTAAATCATACCCGAAGAAAAAGCATTCAGCTATTGAAAGTCAATGCTGTGTTATTTTTGTAACATTATTGTATTATTTGCAAATATTCACATATTTCTTGTTAAGAAAGATTGGCATGTTTTTGTGCAGACATATATGATGCTGTTATCAATAAGAAGCTTGCAGAAAATGGACAGAATTTTTTGCAGGAGCAAGGGACGGAGCAGGTACCAAATTTATGAAATTTGCTGCTTAAAAAAACTTTGACACTTCTAGATTGTTATATAGCAAGTAGAATAATATTAAAACTATTTGAATGATCCAAAAATGAGTTTTTTGAAGATCGCGGAAACAATAACTCTTAGCGAAGTAGCGATAAGTTGACGAATATACAACAGATGATAGTTCGTTGGTACATATTTTTTATAGAAGGAGAAGTAATTTTGAAAATGTCATGAAATAAGGATATCCATGATAGGAAAAGGGAAGACATATAAATATGGAGGAAGTTGGCGAACATGTGCAAATTAGGTTGTGCCTTATCGCAGTAGTGCAACATATTTATAGTGAAATTGTTGGCACTGCGGTTTGCTTGAACTTTATGAAAATGTCAAAACATGACGATGTAGTCTTTAGGTCTCGCATATCCAATATATCGATAGCTTTCGATAGATAAAAAAAAGAAATTTGCAGTTCCCGAATATTTCCGATGAGCCACTGGACTTATCAATAAAAAAGAAAGTTGATTCTGTGAACGAGAATTTGTCCGGCCCAGCTTCAAATTCTCATTCGGCGAAATGTGCCACTGTACCACCTAACAATCTCATTGGCACTGTTCTCTCGAAAAAAGACCGTGCAACCGGAGTAAAGAAATCACGCGGTCGGAAGTATGTAGCTATATGCGTTTTTAAATTGATTTTTTACAAATTTGGCTTAATCAATTTATAACATAAGAAGATTTCATAATCAATGGTTTTTCAGAATGTTAGTTGCAAATCTGTTTGTGATACGTTTTATGAAATTTTCAGAAATATTGCCTCATCGAACACGGAACGCGCTGACGGAAGCGGATCTACTCGTCGCAAACGTCGACGTGAAGACTCCGATAATAAATTGGAATCCGAATCTGAAGATAAAAAGTGGGTAGCAACTGTTGCGTATCCGACGCTCATTTTGCGCCGAATATCCGCTGATGCTACGACAACTGCGAATGACGAATAAGAAGGGTTTATAAATCGAAACTGTATCATCGAAGTGACAATTACTTATCCTTCGAAATTCAGTTATCTCTGAGATGTTATTGCTAATTTGGATTTGTTTCGAATAAATTCCTTGTTGTTATTTACTTGCCAAAGAATTTGTTGAATGGTTATTTCTATCGCTTATGACTTCTTTTAATATTCCAAAATTTTATTTGAGCTGCAAATCATCGGAGCTGACGATTTGTTTAACATGTCGAGTTGCCAGTTGTGACATGCAGCTGATTTTTTTCATTTCACACATTATTTACGGCGATGTTAAAGGTTTTAAAGAACAGCGAATTATTTGGAATTGAAATTGGAAATTTTCGATGTCAGTATATGCGTCGATGATATTAGCCATAACATATCGCTCACAATAAAGCCAAGAGATCAAACACTTATTAGGATTAGGATTATTGCATTAAATCAGCTTTTGTAAATTCGATTATCAGCTTATGGGCTGCGCTTCCTTCGGTGAACATCAAAACTATTCAGCACTTTGAATTTGGGAGCTACTGAGTACTCTCTTGTAGCATTATTTTATGAGCAAGGAAAACACAGTCTCTTAGGCAACGTAGATTTACAAGATACCCTAAATTTTGCCGACATCCATGTTTTCCTGCCTCTCCCCCTCGGACAATTATCAGTCAGCCAGAAGTGTCGCAGTTTGCGTCCCAGTGCAGATTAGTCCTTTCATTCCCAGCGGCATGCAACGAGAATACAACGCACGAATCTAGCGTGCAGGTGTGAACTATTGCAATGGTAACATTCGAGTGTTGGAGTATAAAAGAAGTGGTTTAGAAGGAGTTTAGCGGGTTGCCACGTAGGAGTATTGGGACAGTGATTGAGGAGGCATGAAGAATAGATAAAAATGAATTCATTGCTTTTTGGATTAAAAAAGTATTTTAGAAGAATGTTTACACTGGTATGTAGTTACATTTAGTAGAAAAACAAAAGAAGGCGTCTGTTAAAACAACTGGAAGTCGCGGGATTTAAGGTGAGGCTTTTGGGCAGGGATGTTAAAATGGAATTCAAGATTATCATGTTACTTGCGAATGATTTGCTACTCTTGGAGAAAATCATGCATCGTATATTTTAAGCCAAGGTTTTGAAATTCGTGTAGTAGAATTCTGACAGATAAACAGAAAAAAATCAGCTAAGTGCAAAAACAAGGGGATAACAGGAAATGAAGATAAAAGAAGGAGAAAGGAAGGCTGTTATTTTACCCATATCGCATGCTTCATCATTCAATTTTCGAGGTTTTCCAACACAGGGTTTTTGAGTCTTACTGTTCGATTTCCAGACCAAAAATAGGGTTTAGGAAAGAAAGAACAAAGTGATATTTTATTTGCCATTTAATAGAGTAGTGTCTTATTAACTCATTTTGAACCGTTGTAATTAGTTCTTTAGTGATGGGGGGAGTGGAATTTACAAGAGAAATGCTATAATTAATTAATCGCTTCAGGATCGAAAGCGACTCTTGAACCGTCGTAATGGCCGTAAGGTAAAAGAACCAACAAATAAAGCGATTGGCATGGCTCTGTTTCGTTTTTCGTTATCATTTTTTCGACATGCGTTAAATTTGCAAGTTTTTGGAGCACAGCAGCGAATTAGATTAGCAAATGTAGTGAAGAAACGTTTTTTCTCAGCTGAACCGGCTTCTAACTCTAGTGCATGTCGCTTGGATTTGCTGATCACAAATCTCACTCAGGAAAGCAACCTCGAAGGGGCTGAAATCAGTACAGTTACGAGTGTTGAAGGCCTAAGAAAGGTAATTTTATAGTTTGTTTTGATTTATTTGTTGATCTATGTCTTCTACAAAGATCTTTTAAATTTAAATTATTTGAATTATGTTTGCAGATAATAAATGCACGTATACTGCACCGATCAGATTCATTTTTAGCAATAGTTGCATACTGATAGTGCCGAGTACCTTACTTGTCATCAATCAGAAAGTACCATTCGTATACTAAAGTCCAAATTGCATAACAGTGTGAAGCTTTTCTGCTGTTCCTTAGTTAAATTATAGAGTTTCCTAAGCTGAACTAATAATTTGTAATGTATTTAATTCTCGCTATTTTGCGATAAAATGAATTTTTAGATTTGCTCAAAACTGGAAGGTCCAATCAGTGGTGAAATTTCAGTAAGAGTTTTAGCACGTTTTGCAGAACTTGCTAATGAAAGTGTCGGTATTCAAAAAGCAGCTGTTTATTTGAAAAAGTAAGTCAATTTGAAAAACGTGTTCTCGTTGAAAATAGCTAAAAGTTAGTTTAATCAGCTTTAATTATTTACATTTCACGTACGAATTCCGTATGTAGAATGAATGAAGATGACAGTACAAAATACTCTCAAGAATTCAAACATTGGTTTACATTTTGTTAAGAGTTGTATCTAATACGATATGTTCAGTAGAGTTCGGAATATAATTCTTAACTTTAGCAGAATTTTTTTTACAAGATGCTTTACTTCACATGTTATTAAATACTTCCATTTTACTTGTTAACTAATATTTTTGAGAGGATTGTTGGCCGAAATAGAAAAAACACTGAAAAGTGAAAACCTGAATATGAACTCGACGCTTGAAACTATGTGTGCATTAGTTATTCTCGAACTTACCCAAGAACCCATCTTTGAAACATTGACTGATGTATTAAGACAACAGTTTTCCACTGATGTGTTCTCTGTTCCGGTCTCACCATTGGTCCGTTTAGCTGCTTTGGTAAGCAGTAAAAAGATCCGCCTACCCGACGATTTATTTCGTCAATTGAGGGAATGGTTGCAGTTGAAGGCAAGGTTTGTGTCATTTGTTATTTTTGCTCATTCAAAGTTGTTCTTTCCTCGGTAAGAAATGGGCTTTCATTCAGTGACTGACGTAGGATTTGCACTAGTATTGATAGCATATTAGGTTGCATTTGTTTCGTTACATGAACTTATCAGTACTTTCAATAATTCCAATTTCAGTTCATTTCACAGCGTTTGTTATTCTCCACAGAGTACAAACAACTTGATCTCTAGTAGTACTGATAGCTTATTAGCTAGAAGCCATAAAATGGCGTCAATTAACTTATATGAGTTATGAGTTATTAATATAGCGATTGCTTTCTTGAGTTGTTTACGAAAAAAAACATTTCAGTGAAATAACAGAGCCAAAAGATATCGTTTCTATGATTGTATGTTGGAATAAAAGCGACAATTGGTTCAACATATTTGTTGAAAAAGCAAAAAGCTGTATATCTTTTATGTCTTCCAATGAACTGATTGGGATGATGTCAAGTTTGGCAAACAGTTCGAGTCGACCGCCCCATGTTTTGCGTCTCATTTGCAGTGCTTTCGAACAGAATAAGAAGGGCTTGACGGTCAGTATTTAATTGAAATATTACTTTTGCTGTGCGAGTTGGTACAATGTCTGGCTACGGCTTTTTGATCGGAACCAAGTTAATTTTGATGAAGGTTTCCTTATTGTGACATTGTTGGTTACGAGATGTGACAAAACGGTCCCCTTTTTCAGGTGGACCAGCTCGTTTTATTAGCACAATCAGCTGCAAAATTACGATTCATGGATAATAGACTTCGACGAATTATAGCTGAAGAAACTTTTACTAATATCAGTCGTTTTACTAATTGGTCACAAATTAATGCGGTCGTTCATTCGATGACGAAATTACATATTGGCAATCTCAAAACGTGGAATGCTATTGCTGCATGGATCAATAACAATCAAATGTTGGTTTTAAAGCTCTCATGGAGCAATTCAAAATTATCAGTGTAATTTGCCTTGTTATTATTCGCACTCTTATTCTATTGTTATCGTTTTCACTGTTATTGTTAGTTTTATTGTCATTATCACTTTTATGTTACCATTACTGATCTCATGAATCTATTCTTTTATATTCGATTATGCTATTAATTCCTGTTTAGATCATTTAAATTTTTTCATTAAGAGCACTAAAATTTTTTTTGCTATGATTACTATTTTATCAGGAATGCTGCTCCTGCCGAATTATCATATGCTGTGCATTGGTGTGCAATTGGTGGCAAAGGTGATTTAATTCAAGAAGCCAGTGGATATTTATGCGAAAAACTGGCTTGCTCAAGTATTGATTCACCCAAGACGTGGCTTAGCACAGTCTATGCTTTAGCAGCATGCGATAGGTTATCACCAGAACTGGCACAAACAGTCTTACAACCGTCATTCGTCGCAAATATATTGGGAGGGTTCGAGAAGCTTTCATTTCTTATTGTAAAATTTTTTTAGTTTTAAAAACACATTCTCGGAAATGAATGCGAAGCGATTTTTTATTCTTCACAGCTTGGACTTTTAGGTTGAATGGTTTTCGAAAACTAATGGCTGTAACAACTATTGCTCAAGTACAGTATTTTTTAAAACTGATATTAAATAAAGCATATCAAGGACCTTCAGTAGATATTTTGGATCTAATGCAGTTCTCGTCAACAACTTTGGTTTATTTTGAATCATTTCCTACCATATTTAGATCTTTTTTATAGCTCGTAGCTACACATATAATATGTAACAAAATTTTCCAAAAAAAGATATCCCTGTCTGAGTGATTGATTTTTAAAAAAATTACGAAGAAATTTACTTTATTTTGTCAGATATTTGTTGGTGAGGTTTTTTGAAAATTTCCTCTTGAATTTCCTCTTATGTGAAAATCGTTTTCAATTTTAGAATGATATGGCTTTGAAACTGCGTTACGGGAAGGGTGAGGAAGGTAATGTTCGATATTTTCATTCATTGTTGCATAAACTGGTTGCCGTGAATTCACATGCATTTCCTCCAACTCTTACTGAGGATGGAATTTTTGTTAATGCAGTTATCAAGCTTGATGTTAAAGCGAATGGTTTTGTTCCACTGAGTCATTTTGAGGAAACGAAGGTACCTCGTTTGGCTGTGATTTATCTCTCCTGGAAAGATCGCACCTTACCAGTGAGTATCCCTTTCATTGTGCCGTTTATTTTAAAATTGTTCTATATTTACACGCTAATGTTGTTTTTTTCTTGGAGTTTAAATACTCTTCCACTTTTATAAGTTATATTTAGCTTTCGTTTTTTACTAGCTATTATTACTTTCATTACATTTTATTTGCAAATCACTTTCCATGAAGATTCTATTTTATAATTAATTACAGTATGATGATAACGATAAGAGCACTCTGATGGGACCACCATTGCTAAATCTCCGCTTGCTGAAAGCCAGAGGGTTTATTCCTGTGTTATTTTCACAGGATGACTTCGATTCTAACACATCGTTAAAGCAACAATTCACTCGTATTAAAACAAAACTTGAAGAGGCCTCAGATGATAATGGAAGTAGATAGTGATTAGTGATTACTCATTGTTTAGAAATTAAACCCGTTGTTGAGCATTTACATATTCCATCACAATTCCGAAAGCTAGTTCGAGAAAATCATGATGCAACTGTAATAATTTAATCTGATGTTATCGATGATATAATAATTTAAGACCTCTTATTGACATAAAAGGAAGATCGTTTATTGATTTTTTCATGATCCGGGTACAACGAAGCGCGCATATTACTGTAAAAGAACCGATAAAGATTTTAGCAGTGAAAAAGATTTCCATGTTTCAGATTAGTTTAAAAGAAATAGGGTAGACTGTTCCGTTTTAAGTTGTGTTTGTTTAACTTGTAGGTAAGCATATTTCTTATTTATCGGTTTGAGATTATATGATAAATAATGAATTATTTTGTGTTCCCTGAAACAATTTTTTCATAGTCCGGTTACAACAAAGTTATGGAAAGTTAGGTAATGCATTCTAACTTTGCTCAAAAGCAAATGCCACTATTTGGTACGTGTGCATGGTCTAAATAATTTGCACAGAGTTGTTTACATTTGATAGCTGTTTCAAAATCTTCCGCATAATTTACTCAAATTCTCTTGTTCGGATTTACATGCAAAAGTGATGGTCCAGAAAAAAGAATTTTGATGTACACAAAATTTATGTATGATGAAAAGGGTAGAACATTGGAGAGCTTATAAAAATGCTCTATTATAAAGTTGATGTAAGTAAAGTATCTAATTATTGTTGCAATACAGTACTAAGGAAATTTCTCTCGGGGAATTCAAAATTTCTCAAAGATAGATGACTGTTATAAAGAAGGATAAGTTGAGTGAAATGAATCTAATGGAAGTTTGAAGAGCTGCAAGTTCCGTCATGTCATCCATTCTTGTAAAAAAAAAAGATCAGCGAATCTTTTTGATACGGTGGAAACTGTTCTTTTTACATATTTCAAGCAATAAGTAGATGTCCAACTGATTTGTATTAATGACTAACTATTATTCCTTAATTTCAGTTAAATTGCAAATATATGGTTTTTGAAAAAACCCTTCAATACTCTAGGAACAAGTTTCTTCCAATATAAGTTTTGAATTTCTGTATAAGATGTATGACAATATTATCTAGAACTAATATCTTGCTAAATTACGTCCTCAATTTATCAAGAAAACACTGGAAGTTGAGATATTGATATTCTTGCTACGCACAATTAATTAAGCAAGAATTAACTGGAAGAAGAAAAAGTCTTTGCAGGAATAGAAGAAACTTCAAATCGATTCGTGGGTAGGAGATGTATGAGTGTTGGTTTCCAATTGGTAGTAAAAAAATTTCAAATCTTGACTTTATTGGTTTATGACTTTGCAAAAGATTAAGTTTGAACGTGCAACATGACAAAGTATGTTCAACCTTTCAACACGGGCAATAGAGTTGACGATTCCATCTGCTTAACTCCTTCCATCTCACACCTTTTTCCTCATTGGCTAGATCTCGTTTCTATTGTGGGCTATAATCTCCACATACACTAATATAAGGCATTTTTATATAATTTTTAGCAATTCATGATGGTCTCTATGAATTTCTGGCAATGATAAAAATACAAAAAAGCCAATGTTCCCTTTTTTTTCTAAATATAAAATCAAGACAGAAACTTCAGTTTGAGTAGCATTATGTACACTAAATCAAATAAGTTCATTTATTATTTCTTATCTTTAAAAACATCCATCTTAGCCACAAAACTTAGTTTTTCGATTTAACTAATTCGTGTTTTCAAAATTAAAAAAAAATTTGAAAAGACTGTGCTTTATTAAATTATAAATCATTGTTCTGCAACAACAGTTGTTATAATCTGATCATATGACATGTTTGTTTATTGTTTGTTTGAGTGGTAAATCATTTCATGTCATAAAGAGAGGAAGAGAAAAAAAGAAGAGAATTTACAGGGTATTACAAAGAGACTTCTAAACTCCAACTGTTGTTGTTTGGTATTGCTGTTGTTCGTGGATGTAAAAAACAAATAAGTTTTGATGTTAGTTTTTACGGTAGAATGAAATCGACTATGAATTTCAAAAATGAACTAGAATAAAATGTTTGAAAGCAATTTGCTTAAATTATGCAGGACGAATAATATAATTTGATGTTGATGCTATCAATGGCTTAATCGCAGAAATGGCTCTATTATTCTACTGAAAAAATTTTTCGATTGCTCAAATCTTGAACCTTCTTGCCTCAAAATAGAAAATATTTGGCTTTTAGTCATATCACTGCTAAAAGCTGTATACCGATTTCGATTCAGACAAATAGCATTTATATCTCGTAGTTATCACTGATGCATCTAAATTTATTGGACCCAAAAAAGTCTATAAAATTTCTTGTTTAATTTTGAATTTTAGTCCACCATAAATATGATTTTCGATTTAAAAAAACAATAAAATGAATGAAAGAAAAAAAATGAAAGAAAAACGTCATTTATGATAAATGTAGTTGGCCGATTCGACATTTTTAAAAAGATTCGACGACCACTAACTTCGCAGACATTTAGAGCGGTAATCAATTTTTGAGGCACAGCAATACTCTTCATAGTATTTGCTTATCAATTACTTAAAAACTAATTTTCTCCGAGTTGTAAAATTTCGTCTTAAATTTCATAGTTACTACTGTCTATGGATCTTACTTAAATTTTAGCATGTGTTTCAGATCGTGTCAAATTTCGAAAATCCTAGTAATTATACAAATTAACACAGCTATGCTCCTGCTCATCATTCAATTTCATAAAAATCTTTTATATACATTGAAATTTCTTCCTATCAATTTACTTTGAAAGAAGTTGAAGATATTCAACAATTTGAAGCTAGTACCATGTTTTTTGAATTTAATATCAGTTGAAAATGAATCTAAAAGCAAGAATCATTTAAAGAGAGCATCAAATTGAAAAAATTAGAGCAAACATACAAATAAATGTTTATTTAAGGCAAAGACATTTAACAAGGACAATGAAAAATTTATAATTGAGTTGAGAAGTATGCTGTTAGTACAGTGTTAGTGTAATCAAAAAATATACTAACAGCAGATATGCAAATGCAAATTTGAATACAAGAATAGCCACTCTCAAAAATTAACTTAACTTCGATAGTAGTTAGTCATTTTAGTTAGCTTAATTTAATGTAGTAGAAAATATTGAAACAGAAAGAAATCTTTTCAAAAATGTATCATAAACTAAACACGTGGGACTTTGTTTGGCGTTTGATTCAAATTTGCATTTTGTTTTAAATTAGAACATTTGTATTCAGGAAAAGACACGACAACATTTAATGAAATATTCTACACTTACCACAATTTTTATTTTAATATAATCTCTTTCTCAAATTTTGCTCTTAATTGGATTCAAACCAATTCTAATACAAATCATGTCAAAATACTTACATGTAACACTTCTACCGTTTTTGCACTTTTTTCACTCTTATTTTCAAACATACTTTTTAACCTGTCCCTGTCATTTTTTATGATGATAAATTTTGGAAGCTTTTCTTCCCTTCACACTTTCAAATTTACTCCCACATACTTTTGATAAAAATAAACAAAAAAGCATTGTCCACTTATGCATAATAAGTATTTCAAGTATGAAAACATTATAAAGGCAATTTTTTAAAAACAAAAGTCAATTAACAGAAAATATAAAACATTACAAATGCAAAAGCATTATATATTACGCAGTAAATACAAACAATGACTCCGAAGAATAGTATTTCAAGGACCAACTAACGTTAAAAAACAAAAATAATGAATAAATGGAATTGATGGACAGAAACAGAAAGCATTTAGAACAGTAAACAATTACTTCTCATCTTAACGACTTGTATACTGTAGTCATTCAACGTTTTATATTTTAAGAATGACACTTGGCATTTGCGGTAATGCGAAATTTTATCAAAGTAATCAATACTTCTCTGTATACTGCAGTTATTTAATTAATACATCCAAGATTCAAATCAGTAAATTATCATTTTTACAAGAAGACATGGAATCTCATTGTCTTGTTATTACTATGATAAAACATATTTGCTGATACAGTCAGATTATTTGTTCCCATTTCACTTTGGATCAAAAATCAAGTAATTTTGAGCAAAGAGATTGGAGTAATAAGAATTTTATTCCTAAGTGAAGGACTAAAGAGTAGGTTAATTCTTTCCCCTTCTATTTTTTTTTACTGTAATCATTTGCACTTATTTAGAAAATCAAAAATCTCATTGATTTTCGTAATCAAAATGGTTTAGGGGTGAGGAAGTTTTCGTATGCACGCTAAATTCTAACACTTCAGTCATATGACACATTCTAATGTCCTGCTTTTGTGTAAAGTTGTCATGGAATGAAGTGAAGTTTTTTACTACATCAAAAAATATTTTGATATTCATTTTGATTGATCTTCTAACACTAGCCATAAATTATTGGCGTTGATAAAACGCCGAACAGATTTCTTTTTTTAATTCAATGAAAATCAATAACATGAGATGTTTGGTGTTCTATTACACTCTATTCAATTAAAGGGCATAAAGGAAATAACCCGTTTCATATGAATTCAAGGAATGCAAATAAGTTTTGTCCTGCTATCACGTCTTACTTTACGGTGCTATTATTGCACTGCCGTAGTTAGTGAAAAGGGGCGGCCCAATCTCGGTTTTATGTTATAATAAATAGGATCGAAAAGATTGTGTTTGATCATATTCCTTCAGCATGGACAACTGAGGAAGATACGAGATTTGCAATAAATATCGCATTCTTCTCGACTTTCTTTTCCATTTCAATCAGATCACAAATTTAAAAGAAGCGTACTTCATACTTTTTCTGTACGGTTGTAGAACACGTTACAGTACCATTTTCCCTTTCTAATGATAATGTTGCCAGCTACAGAGTGATTCAAACTTCAAATTTACTTTCTAGATAAAAATTTTCAAAAAACAAATTGCTTTGTAGAATTTACTAATTGACGGAATTACGAGACTTTTTTTTAGTGTATCAGAAATGAAATGTGGAGAAAATATTACCACGCTATTTACAAAAAATTTCTGTTCAATATAAAACTATTTCTTGCATTTATCTTTATTATTTTACAAAACTTCAATAGTTTGCAAAAATTTACTGCAATATTTTTATCAGAAAAGTTTGACTTATTACTGTACAAGTTGCAAATATTTTCTAGAGTTTGCGGAAGCAAAATTTGTTTATAAACTGTATGTCACCTTTTATTTTTATTTTGTTCTTCCTCTATTAATCATAATTGCTATTTCAACAAATTTGGAATGCATCATATATTTTACGTTTTTTCAATGCAGTTTTAGAATATTCTGGTTATTAATCAGATCTGAGTTATAATTTATTTCCCTGTTAACTTTAAAATAGTTCCTTAGTGTAAAATAATAGCGACAACAATGTTACTTCCTTCAACCTATCAGGAAAACTTTGTCTCTTATCTGTGTTCCTTGGTTGTGTTGATTTCAAAACTATATCTACCTTGTTAACAAAATCGTTACTTCAATTTAACGATGAAATGAAGAAAGTGATGTAGAATTTAAATTAATTGTTACAAACTGCTACGAAAATGTTAAGTAATCCGAATTAGTGTTATTTAACTATCTCTTTCATTTCTATGATGACAAAAAGCGATCACACAAATTGTTGCAAATGCAGTGAGGAGATTTCAGGTTTCTCCCACGTTTCTTCAGAAAATGAAACTATACTTTAATCTATTGATAGCATTTGATAAAGATTAATCTAAAAGTTATTGTTGAATAATTTCAAATTTAAGGATGAAGTGACAAGAAGACCTAAAGTCATAACCCGTTTAGTTAACGTTATCAATATTGCAAAACCTCAAATGAAATTCGATATCTTCTTATCCTTCCCGAAAGAACAAAAAAGACAATAATCAAAAAATATTTGAAATGAGATGTGGAAATGATGAGAAATTTTACAATTATATGTAGAATTACTTATTAGTATGTCGTCTTTTTGAAATTTTAGATGATACAATTTTGACTTTTGTAATTTCTGATGTGGTGGTATTAATTTATAGAAAGGAAGGGAAAAAAGCGTTTTTGAAGAAAACGGCAAAAACAAATTTTGCTTAAAAATTTTTTTTTCAAAGAAACCGTTTACTTTACATGTGATAAAGTAAACGGTTTTTTTGCGATAAAATTTTTAAAATCCGATCCTAAAACAAATGAAATCATAAGCAATCACTTTGAGTTCAATTTCAAAAAAGGTTAGCAATACAAGCTTTAAAATTACAGCACAGCAATAACTAATGAAATACTTTAAATAATATATTTCTTTACAAAAACAAGTTCATGGGCAGTAAACATGAGATCGGGAATTGTTTAGCTGCACATCAATTTTCAAAGTAAACTCGAATATTTAAAACATGGGTGCTTTTTTAGAACTATGTCACTTGTGAACATTCGTTCGATTTCAGCAGCATAACTGTAATATTACAACAATTAAAAGTTCAAAACAGAGTTTCTTTAAAAGAACTAGTTTTGAGTTCAGAACAGTGACAGAAGTTAGCGAATTCATCCTGTAATGTGACGCCATTTTATTATCATAATAATTCTTAAAAAAGTTATTGTTGAAGTATTAGAAACAAGGAATACAAATTGTAGACATTTTCGTCTTGCATATTACATCTTCCAGATTTTCCAACTAACGAAATGAGCTCAGCTCCAAATACTGCTATTCGTAGACCAACCACACAGCCACAACTTGGCTTTTTCGTTTATTTACTAGCATTTATGGCTGTAATTGGTGGTTTTTTATTTGGCTATGATACGGGAATTGTCTCGAGTACGATGCTTTATGTGGAACATAATGTTGGTATGAGACCAATGAGTACACTTTGGAAAGAACTTATCGTCAGCATAACACCAGGTATTTCTCTCATTTCTTGTGTTTTAAATTAATATTATGATGCTATCGACAGTTCATTTGTTAAAATATAATTAATTGAAGTAAATTTAAATCTATCAACAGAATATATTGAGAAGTTTAAAAGTTAATCGCAAAACTGAATCTATATGGAAGAATCAGCTTGGACATTCCTTATCATTTGGCATCAGATATCATTGCAGTCATGATGACATAAATTACGCAACCTTTCAACATTTACAGCTCTACAAAATTGGAAAAGATTATTTCAGGCACAGCTGCGATCGGTTCACTTTTTGCCGGTCCAGCATCTGATTATTTCGGAAGAAAGAAAATCATCTTATCATCCAGTACTGTGTTCGTATTAGGTGCTGTTATCTGTGCGATTGCTCCAGAAAAAGTAACATTACTTATTGGAAGATTTCTACTCGGTTTTGCTATAGGTGAATTATTTTTGAATTTTTTTAGACTGAAAAATTATTGTGCACTGACGAAATTGAATTATTGATAATTATCAAATCATGTTATTTTTAAGGATTTGCATCAATGACAGTGCCAATTTACGTTGGTGAAGCATCCCCTTCACACATTCGTGGTATTCTACTTACTGGTTTTCAGTTAATGATTACTTTTGGCTTGATGGCTTCCAATATCATAGCTGGTTTGTTTTAATTTTTTTGAAATTTCAAAATTTCTAACAATACACTCTAATTTATCATTAGCAAATAAAAAAGTTGGAATATATTTATTTGAAGTTTCATTTAAAATTTCAGTATTCTTCAAATTTTCATAAAGAACATTGATTGAAATTATAATTAAGGTGGATTCTCATATATTGACCCTGTGAATACTGGCTGGCGTTTAATATTCGCATTTGCTGCTTTACCCGGAATAATACAATTCATTGGCTTTTTGTTCCTGCCAGAGAGTCCCCGATGGTTGTATAAAATGGATCAAAAAGAAGAAGCTTGTAAGGTTAGTTTATTCGAATTTTCATGATTTAAATGTGTTATTTCCAAACAATTTTTCTTTTAAATCATCCTGAATGAAAGTGAAAATGAAGACATATTCGGATTTTTTTTTTTTTTTGAATAACTCTGATGACGTTAGTAAAAATTAAAGCAAATTCAGAATGATTTTTGTTTTGAATAACTTTAACGACTCACGACATTTCACTCCTTTCTCTCGCTGCTTAAGTCTTAGTCTTATCAATACTTTTGATTATCGAGTTATGTTGAAAAAGAGCAATTGTCAGGTCTTGAGCAAAATCTACAATGGGTACGAGGACTGGATAGCCTATGAAATTTCTGAAAATGCGGAATCATTGGAAAGTGAAAAGAAAGCCAAGGAAGCCGTCGGTGGTTGGTTGTTTTTTTATAAATTTATTTAAATTTTCACTTAAAAATATTTTTTATTGCTTTAATTGATGAACTATAATTTATTTTTTTATATAAATCTTGTTTTTCTATTAAATTCCTATAATTGCTGATAGAAATAGATACTGGGGGAAGATTAAATTTACACATATAGAGAAATTAGATTCGTACAAATTGAAATTGTGAGTGTGCTAGCATATTGACACTCATCAAGTTTGTTAACAAATGAAATTGAATATAAAAACTGCAGAGTCGATGTTGCTTGGACGAATCTTGACAACACCACATGTTCGGAAAGCACTTATTATTGGATGTTCCTTGCAAGCTTTTCAACAGCTTTCTGGAATTAACACCATTATGTCAGTTTCACCTATTGAAAGTTGGATTTTCTACGATTAAAAATCAAATACTTCGAAAAAAAATAGATTTACAATAATTTTTGAAATCATGAAATATCAAAATGATCGCTTCAGTGCAATATAGTACCATATTTTTTTGAAATATGAACATGCATACTTAAGGTATTACACGGGCACAATAATTCAATCAGCTGGTATTCAAGATCCACATACAGCGATCTGGATTTCAGCTGGCATTTCAAGTGAGTAACTGTATTTTCATGAGAAATCAAAAAATGTTAGGCAATCAGAGTTTCACATCATAGCAAAAATAAAATGCATGGAAATGTGTAGTATTTTGTTAAAAAGATTGTTAAGTCTTTATAAAGCTTCTAATCTCATCTCCTTAATTTCTAATATCTTTTATTTGGCAGGCCTTGTTGAAAGAAAACAGGATCATATTATATAAATATAAAGTTTTATAGAGGGCATCTTCTTAATACTTGGAATTAACTAATATTTACTTAATTATAACATTTCGAAATCAATTTCTAGGCTTATATTTTCTAATTAATTATTAAAAAATACATGTAAAATTGATAAAATAATTATTCTGATATTTTCAATTGTTTAAGACTACTTTAGGTGTCAATTTCTTGGCCACATTTGTACCAATGTATCTAATAGAGCGTATTGGACGTCGGCTACTGCTGTTCATATCAATGACTGGTGTAATATTGGCATTATTCGCTATGGGATCTGCATTTCTATTAATAAATCTTGATTCAGCTCCCTCACTAGATCCAAACACCATCTCTCTCGACACTACCGTACACCACTATATGCAATGTCGAGTTTTAAGGTTTTTTCCAAAGCCTAATTCCAATGATAAATTCAAAGAAAGAAAAATTTGCTATCTGAAAATTGTTTTTGACTTTCCAATGCTACCATAATGCATCGTAGTGCAAAACAAAAATGCATACTTCCCTTGGTCATTGATCAATTAATATTTTCAAAATAATAATATTTGCAGCAACTGTGATCATTGCGTTACTGATGAAAAATGTGGCTTTTGCCAACCGAGTCTCGACTCGCCTGAAGGGTTCCTTTTTTACAATTTTCATTTTTTGACTCAATTAAAACCTCCATATAAATAAACCCTAATATATTCTTTAACGTACATAATGTAATTTTAAGGTTGTCTAAATTTTCAAACAGCAATGCAAGCGTATCAATAATTTTGATCGTGATATTTTATCGCGACAAATTTTGTTCCTGAAATTCAATAAGACAAAATAAGAATTTCTTCAATTGTCATAAAATTGATATAAATACTTTCCAGTTATTGTTTACCATATTCACGCACATCCCCCGAACGATCACTGACTGGTCCGTGCGAAAACAGTAATGTAACAACGACCAAATGGGAAAATTCATTCTGTCCATCAAAATATGCATTTATACCAATTGCTGTCATGGTGGTTTACTTGGCATTCTTTTCTATTGGTGCGGTTTTCTTTAAATTTCAAAATTTGTTGAAAATAACTTTCTGAATATTTATACTGTCACAAAGAGATAAGTGCTGCACCACTAATCTATCTGAATATTCCGAATGGGTTATAAATATACTTACTTTATAGGAATATTGTAATTAATTGACATGATCGACTTAAAATGAATTTGATGAGTTCCCATTTTAAAGGCCTAAATTATTTGAAATGAAATAAATCACCGCTCTTGATGGAATTTAAATTTAAAGTTTGTAAAATCATCAAATCATTAGTATTTACTCCCACGAATATGTCTGATATCATTGCATGCACCACGCAGATGAATGCGCATAACTACATTTCTTCTGCGCGTTACGAGACAATCTCTTAATAATGAATTTTTATTATTGTTATTCATTTCAGGTTATGCACCAATGCCATGGGTGTTAAATGCGGAATTTTATCCACTTTGGGCACGAGGTACATGCTGTGCATTGTCAACATGCTTCAATTGGACATTTAACTTGATTATCTCTTTGACATTTTTATCCCTCACGCAAGCTGCTACTAAATATGGTCAGTTTATTTCTTCTTTATTTCAATCAAAAACTATCGTTAATACGAAATTTGATTTTTTTAGATATTAGTTGTATAGATTTTGAGGAATGAAAATTTCTCAGAATACGAGAACAGCATATAAGTGCTGATACTATAAGTTGTAAGACTATAAATTTGACTTGAAATTACATTTTTATTAAGTTTGACTTCGACTAAGTTCAAGCAAGCAAAAATTTAATAGATATAAAATGATATTATTAAAAATAAATGGCAATTTTAGGCGCATTTTTCATCTATGGTTGTATAACATGCATTGCGCTTGTCTTTTTCTACTTTGCCATACCCGAGACAAAGGGCTACAACATTGAAGAAATCGAATTACTGTTCATGTCTCGACCTAAGCAAAGACAACAAATAGTGCCAATGGCTGATCAACGATTTAATGAAAAAAAGCATCGCGATATGACAACAGTCACTTGTAATCAGTCAGATGTATTTTGATTTATTTCATCATGAAATGTAACTTTAAATTCCGTTCCGCTATTAGCTCTAATCTTTCTTCAATTTTCTCATTGTTTCAACACCATAACCATCAAGAAAGTTTTCGATGACAGGAAATAATGAGATGAAAGTTATCGCTGCAACTTACCACTTTTTAATTTCCATACCGCAACAGTGACCGTATTCGATCAGGTTATTTTTACATCTGTTTTAAGAATTTATTTTAATATTTTTTGTATTTACTTCGTATCAGGTTATTTTATATCTATTCAAGATTTTATTCTAATACTTTTATGTATTTTCTTACCAAAATATGGGGTAGTTTTATGTATTTTATGGAATTACTTCACATTCAATTTTGCTTTGTCATTATTTTTAATAAGTAGAAGAGCTTTCATGAAGTTTTCAAAATCAGCAGATTCATTTTTTGTTGTAAATACTTTTAGAAAGATGGGATTCTAAATTTTGACATCAGTTAAAATAAAACAACAAAAATAAAAGCAGATATTAATGCTTAGAAAATGAAATTAAAATGAAGACAAAATAAATTTATCATGTCTAAAACTGATATCATTTGTTCGTGCTAATTCATCTTATATTTGATAAACGATCCTCCGTAATTGGATAAATAAACCTCGGTGTTCTTCATATGTTTCTTTAAAATTTTTAACTTTTAGGATGTTACATTATGAGATCACATTAATGGTCACATGTGTCTGTGTAAGCTAAATGTAAATGCAGGAAAAAGACTTTCATCGAAACACTGTAGAACTGTTTGCAAATTATAACTGCATTTCATAGTTGAAGGTTGTCTAGTGAGAAAGATCTGAATGGTGAATGAGTCTTGCAACTTCGGTTCTTAAACTTAACAAAATGCAATCCAACTGTTTCTTCAAAAATTCAGTAATTATTCTTAATTGCATCTAATCATTTAGAAGGACGATCAAATATAGTTATAAAGTGAAATATGATTAAATAAACTTACATTGGTTAAATGAATCATTAAGTAATGATTGAATCTCATTTGTTAAATCAGTCAATTGGAAAATGGAAGGCATTAATCTTCGAACAATTCATGGGAGCATATCGCAGAACATTGTCTTCTTACGTTTATATACACAATGATAAAATGTTTCTAACAGTACAAGTTAACCGTAATATCTTATTAATGAGATAGTTACACTTAAAATTATTGTTACATGACAAAGATTAATTAGAAATAACGGCTTAGAAAACTGATGTGTGGTAATGCTGTCGTCAAAACAATATATGAATCTGTGAAATGTTTATTCTCAAATTTAACTATAACAACAAATATCAAATTTGAAGAGTATGATTGCTATCACTTGAAAGTCAAGTATCAATCAAGTGATGAATAAAGAAGTTAATTTTTTATTTGTTTCCAAAATGGCATCAATCTGCGGATATCTTCCACGTTTATCACAGATTTTTCGAACCTTGAGTACATAAAGAAAATGAATACAGTAAATAAAAAACTGGAATATACAACATATTTCCATCACTGACACTTACATGTGTTTTAAATAATAGCAATTTAAAATGTATCGCATACAGATGTTTTAATTGTCCCATCCCATAATATTGTTCAAATTGCCTTATAATTATAATGTTTATAATGTTTAATTGTCTCATAACATTTATACCTATACATTTTTACAGTATGAATGAGCTTAAAAAGAGTGTGCTCATATATTATGTGATGACTTTTTTGTTTTCGTGAATCACAAAAGGTCGAGCAATGTGGTCAGAGGAATGCTGAGGTCAGACTTGTCATCATTACGTACAGTCATAATGTTGAACATCACAGAAATGTTATTTTAGAAAACAGTAAAAAATTTGATATCTAATGGTATTGTAAAACAGAATGGAAGAAATAGTGTATGACCGAATTTTGGGATAATTTTCAGGATTAGCTATTACTTCCAAAATACGGGATTTAATACTTCTAAAGGTTAAGTTATCACTCGCCTCATTAACGATTGCATTTTGCTAGTTTCAAAATTTTATGTCATTAAGCGAAATCTCTTCTTTCTGGAAATGAAATGAGAAGTAATGGAGGGTAACAAATTCTATCCAAAACAAAAAACATACTAATTTAAAGAAGCAAGGACATTACAAATAACACTACGCCTGAATTCTAAACTTCTATTGTAAATGAGTGTCAACCTGCATATAAACAAGTATCGCTCCCTCCGTTTTCTTTCCTTTTTGTTTGGCTCGACACATGATGATATTCTATTCACTAATCAACATTCAGCACTTCTTTACTATCATTTATGGCTTTCCTTATGCATATGGCCTTATTCTGGTTTAAAGTGTTGTTTCCACATTGCACACACGCATCTTTCGAAAACAATGCATCATCACAGATGCACCTCCACGCTTTACTTTGCACTTGTTCAGATCATACAGAGTTCTCGACGTAGCAACCATCTTTATTTTTCTCTCCTTTATTTTCAGTATTTCCTGTTTCCTATCAATTTAACTCAGTACTATGTTGTTTTTTTTGGATTATCAGAATCAAGCAGAAAAAGTTTTGATTTGCATCACATCCTGCGCTTTAACAAATATACATTTCTACCACACGAAATATCGAAAACATTTCTTGCAGTACACGCACAATGTCAGAACGCACTCTGTGAATCTATGAATCATATAAATACAATCCCTGTGCAATCGCAAAATAAAAGTTGTGGAGGCTGCAGTTAAGCCTAGCCTAGTGAAAAGATAAATTGATCCTATTCGAATTTCTGTACATTACAAAACTGTGACAATGATGTGAGAATATTCGAAAAAGAGTAGTAGTGATTCTGAAGGGAGCACAAATATGTCAGTGTCTAGCAACATAGAAATGCAGTCATAATCATTTACTCCAAATAAAAAAACAGTGGAAATATTATAAACATTACGGCTGGATATCATTACAAGCGGATCGATATTCATATAACAACTTTATTCGTCGCCAAGATGAAAAAATCTTGAAATCATGAGTTCCAGATTCTCAGAACTGTGGCAATTCAATGCATCCCTGTTCAAAGATAGTTTAATAATATAATCAACTTGGAACACTACGTGCTAATTTTTATACGTTGATTTGAATAGAATTGTACCTACAAAAGAAAGCCTAAATTATATTTACAGCAAACAGATTTCCAAACGGTAAAAGAATTAAACCATGTCCTTTCATAAATGTTCCTCCATTCGAATCAATTCTTTTATACCATCGTACATTTGTTTAACTGCTTCATATTGCGTTAGTCCAAGGCTTTTCTGAATTTGATAAATTTTGAAATTAATAAAAAAGAAAATTTAGTAAGACTCATCAGCAGTTCTTTAAACATCTTAACACATATAGGTTTATTTCCTATATAAGTGCTTTTGAAATGAATGATCCAACAGCACTGCTAGAAAAAAGGGGGAAAAAATATTCATTTCACTGTAAGTGATAGCGTAACAAAATGTGAAACGAACAATTCATTAGCACTGAGAAATAAAAAGACTTAAAAAATATGACTCTCATAATAGTAGCAAAATAAAAAAAGGACCTTGTTTGATATAGAATAGTAATCATTCGACACTCCAGATGAATTAACACGCAAATTCAGCTTCTCACATATTTCCTACAAAAGAATTAAAATGGATATTTCTTTCCATATCCTTACTCAATGCATGGAATAAAAACTCGACCTTGAAGAATCATTTCTAGTCAATAATAAGGGAGCTAAATATTTTGAATCGCAAACAAGTTTTTTATAGAAACATTTTTTTTGGAAGAAAAGAAAACGAAACCATGTTGTGGATCCTTTAATTTATCCTCACTAAGACTATAAAAGTGGGTTATTGAGAAATCCAGCAAACTAAAAGAAAATCATTGTAACTACAATTGCAAAATTTCCAATGCGAATTAACGGAAAATAAAAATGAAATGATAGTTTAAAATGACATTGGCTTCGTGTATAAGACATCTATTTCCTTACCATGAAGTCGGATTTTTTGCTCAGTTTCGGCAAACGTATTTGTACTGAAGCATTAACTGCAGAACCAAGATTGCTAGGGTTTGATGTTAACCAGCCAAGTCGATTATCTCGAGCGAACGTTAGCTTTTCTTCCAGTGCCTTGAAGCATTCATACTTACATGAACTTTTAAAATTTTGAATGCTGCAAAAGCTCAAAAAACGGCAGATGAGTAATTTCAATTTTTTACGAGAGGTTTTGTTACATTTTGAAAGCATGAATATTTTCGTATATACATATTAAATTGGCAATATAACAACAATAAAAGGATCGTACTATTTTAGTAATACGCACTCTTAATACTTCAGTTGAAAGGCGGCTTACACCAGGTTCTGGAATCTCATAAGAAAATGATGGTTATCACGTGAATTCTGCTATTCTATCTTGAACTTCTTCATTTTTTCTTTCCTAGAAAAAATGAAAGTCACCTTTAAACCTCGGATTAAACGAGCAAGAGCTTTGCCAACATCACTTCCTTCTTCAACCGAGATTATGTTAATATGATCTTCCTCATTAACCCATACCACAAAAGATTTTTCTTTGTTATGGAAGATTCCACGTCCCTGAAACAAATTAGCAAAATCTTGGCATATAAATTCGAAATTCGAACTTAACAGAAGCCTGAACGCTGGTAATACAACCAAGTGGTAGCATCGTCAAACTGTTTCAACACAGTCGACATCGACTTGAGATTATGTTATTGCGGACATATGTTTCACTGAATGACTTGATTACACTAATAAAAAAGAAAGTGTAGACTCAGTTTCCTGATAACACATTTTCAAAAAAAAAAAAAACCGAAATAAAGTTTTTAAAGGCAAAAAAAGGAAAGCAGTACCTCTGGCCAGGCGTTATAAGCGTTTGCATGTTTTAATAAAGAACTACTGTTATTGAATAGAAGCTGTTTACTGTCAAGCTCATCCTGTGTTTCTTTCGGCACTCCATCCAGCGGATAATAGATTCCACGTAATTCGGGTTCCTCGATTTGCATTAGTGCATTTCTCACCTTGAATTATGAACAGTCAGGCAACCAATTTTCAAAAACTTTATAAACAAGACGGCTGATCACACAAGAACAGGAACCCATATGGGTTAGTGCAAATATAGAGTTGGAACCAACCTTCTGTTCCAGAATCAGGTAATCATCCCCACTCAAAAGTGGGTTAAATGGATAACCGGCAATGGAACGAGCACAGCGAATTCTGGAAAAAATTTTATCCCTTGTTGTTTTAAAAGTACTGCACTTTCAGTTAAGATGAAAACGTCAAGAATTACAGAATGTTTAACTAGACAGATTTAAGATTCCCATAAAGGCGTGGCACAGGTAAACGCAAATAAAAAATGGATTCGATTAGTTTCTGGAATTACTTCTTAGATAAAGCATGCTGTTATATAAATAACCAATAAATCATGAAAGAAAACTAACCTGACTGACTTGACATATTTTCCAGTAGGATCAAGAGATGAAAATTCGCTGATTTTTTTTTCTCCGAAATCAACTGCTGGTTGTTTGGCTCCTGATTTGAATCCATGATAATCCTCCAGAATTTTATCGAAAAGAGAGGCGAATTTGTGATAAGATTCTGGATCCGCTGCATATACACCAATCTCCGAATCACGGTTGTACAAACCTGAAAAATGAAACACCGTCCTACAATCTAGAGTATAGCACAAAAGAACTGTAATTATTTAATCCGGAGAAGAAAACGGGCAAGTTTACTGCAGTCAAAAATAATAAAACGTACCAGAACGAATTATGTCGTGAAGAGAAGCACCCAGTTTCGTTTTTTTGCTTTCCAATTTTTGTAAAATTTTAGGTGTCAAATTTTTCTTTAGCAACGAATTACAATTCTTATCCTAAAAGTCTTTAAGTTTAGAAACCGTTGCAATTTTAAAAATTAATGATTTTATTTAATTTATTACCATGTTCTTTAGAAATTCATTCCTTTCTAATCATCATAGAAAAAAGGTCCAATAAGTAATAAAGATTATAACCTACTGAAATGCAAAACAATATGGACATTAGAACTGTAGCACTTTTCATCAAAAGGTAGCTGAGTATTGCTTATTAAACCAGTAAATGCTTTTCCCTGTAAACTGCTCACCTTTATTGAATAAAACAAACAGCTATAACATACTTTTTGGAGTTCTGCGTAAGCTGTGTTGATCTTTCGAATAGTAAGGGCATCTGCTTCATTGATTTGGTAATTCATTTTGTAAAGTTGTCCAGTCTAAAGAAGTGTTGCTAACAAAGATACAAACATGAAAACGTTTATATATACTGGAATTACATAAGAGAAATATTCCATTGTTAGCAACAACAACGAATCGTGAGTAAAATATAAGTTCAGAAACAAACCTATTTTTTTGAAAAGTCTTTTATACCGCCTAATAGCTCCCTTCGCTTAATTTAGAATAATTGACTTACATATGTCACGGCTAAAACGGTTGCTGTTGCTCCGCCAGCCACGGCGAAAAGTGTTTTAAATGTGCCAGGCACCGACATCTTCACCCAATACTGAAAATTTTTATTACGATTTACTCCAAGACGAAAAAAAATAAAGTTCCTAGCAATACTATTATAGTTTTCGAACTAACAATCCTGACTGCAAATATGATTCTAATTTCATATAGCAGAATTTTCTTAAGAACATATTTGTGATCAAAAGAAAATCTTTGGAATTCCTGACCATTTCAACCAACCCACAATCATACCATCCTTCATCCCTAAAAAGCTAGAAAAGCTTGCTAGTTAAGAATAAATACCGCCACTGCCCTTCCTGTAAAATCTAAGTTTCAGAGAGACTTTAGAAAGGGAAAAGATGACAGAGGACTGTTAGGAGGAATATAACGGCAATAACAGGTACATAATGCCAAAGCCAACGACTCGATTTGCGATTTAAATTTTATATAGCCAAATCCCAAGTTCATTTACATTCCAGTCATTTTTCAAAAAGATGGTACTCTTTGTAACGCGGCGCCGTTATGCCCGTTTCTGGTAGCAATCGGCCTGATCAATCGGAAATAGCTCAAGGGGTAGGTTTTCTACACATTATTTAACTTAAAATTCAGTCACTTCTGCTGTGCTACATTCAACCATACTTGCTCGGTAAATAGTGATCGGTACACTTTCTATTTCTTTTTATATTAAAGAAAAGAATCTCGGAAGGCAACATTGAAACGAAAAATAATTTGATGACGGAGTAAGACTAGGAAATTTGTATGAATACATCTTACGTTCAGTTCTCAATATTCAGCATAATGACACAACAAAAAGAATTATATGCTGCTCGTTGTTAGTTAACGTAGCTCGTGATGATCATACTTTAATTGTCTTACGAAGACTTTACTGTAAACCTTCTGCGAGTTAATAAGGAACAGATATAATCGTGAAATTTATTTACATACTCCACTAGTTTATCGTGGTATAATAGACCGGTACTGAAACTGCGAATAATTCAAACAGTGAGAGACATTCAGACGATCAAAATAATGGTGCAAAGAAAAAACAGATAAACTTGAAAATATCACAGCAAGCAAATGAGTGTTTTGGGGAAGATAACCAATCGCATATATTCGACAAGCTTGAACTGCAGTAAATATGAGTTCATTTATTGAGTAATTGTGGCGTCACCAACTGCAAAGCATTCTGCTTGTACAGCACCTGCAATTTCAACCATGTTAAGGTAAAACGACAAGGATAATTTTGAAAACGGCAAGAATTTTGAAGTGTTCTAAATTTGGGTTGAAGCATAGAACATGCCAATAAGTTAATCAATGCTTTGGATGTCCTTAACTGAAATAGGACGAAACTCTTATTTTCTTTTACACTCTTGTCCATTAAAAAACCTCATTCACATAAGACAAATATCACAGCTGTTCTCAAATATGAGCCTCAATTTTTTTTATTCCGAGAACTTTGGCTGATACACTTCGCATGATTTCTACAGCATAAAGATGTCTTTGCTACTGAGATTAAAAAATTAAATATATTCAATTATTCTTTTCTCGTGAGATAATATCATCGTATTTTGTTGACAAAGCAACGAGAAGTTGTACGAAGCATTCAAAACATTTCAAAGCAGCATATTTGTAACAGTTATAATTCTTAACGCCCTTCTCCCTTCCGCCTTTCCTCCGAATGCTTCATGAACCATCCGCCACCTGTTTCAGTTCTTCAAGTTCTCGTCCTTGTTCCTTCACAATATCCAATAATTTATTCAATGAGTCATGAATCTCGCCAATGTCATCTGTTTGTTCCGCTTCTTGATTATCCTCAGCTAACGACATTGCTTGCATTCGAGGAAACCAGTCACTTTTATGCTCCTAGACAATACGATTTCGGAATTCTTTATGTTACATAAACATAATTGAATATAAAAAAATAATTTTGATTACTACAACGATAAAAAAATCAAGATATAAAAATCTTGAACAACTAAAAATCTAAATAACCGTTCAAAGATTTACCTTAATACAATTTGCGACATAACTTTCGGGACCGGTGAATTCTGTCTCGTCCTTTATTTGCAACCAGACAATAAAATATAGATAATGATAAAGATTATGTTCATTTTTTCGATGCTGCTCGAAAGTTACAATTTTATTATCAAATCTGAATTAATTTAACTGATATCAAAAGTATAAAGAAATGATTTAAAAGTATAAAAGAATGAGCCGATTATGTGAGCCCATGACGAACCGACCTCCTTTCCTTCTCCCATCCTTTCCTTTGTTTTTTGACCGCAAAATTTATTTATGGTAACTTGGAAAAAATGTTCAAATTCTACGGAAAGTTGAAACTAACCTTCCCCTTCCAAGGCCACAAATGAAACAATTATTTCTTAGTTGATCAACTTTTTCATTTCTTTCAGCTCTCAAATCGCCAAATGTATCGATGATAACACCAAATACCAGATTGAGCACGATAACAATGATTACGATAAAGAATGTCAAATCATAAACGATCCGAGACAAAAACGATTCCTCCTTGACATATAATTTTTTGTTTCTTTTGTTTTTTGCTCTTTTTCAATAGTATAAAAAATCCTAATTATTTCTTCTGTTACGCTCTTTAATAACAGCTTGATATTCAAATAACCAAAATATAAACTGAAATAATTCTTGTAAACAGTTCTTGCAATATGAACCTTGGCTAAATTTATCGGAAATATAGAAAGGTAAAATAAGTCATCTGATAGGATCAATTAAATTTACATATTTGACAGTTATAATTGTTTACCTTATCACTCTGATTCCAGCCCTGAACCTAGGAATTCATGAGGAACTGACAGTGGGTACTGTAGTCACTGGGTTCACTAATCAGTCACATTTTTCTTCTGTTATACTCTTTAACAAGATTGATCAATATCATACTGTTGCTATAAAAATAAGACAGCCATTTACCATATCTCAAGCATACGTAATACGACTGTTATCATACTACACATCTCAAAAAAAAAATACTGTCAAATATGTATTATATTCCTACTAAAAAATTATGCATTAAACATACGTGTGGTGCCACATTCCGAAGAACATCGCCAATACCGCCTCCATTACGAAGACCCCAATTTAACGTTGTTAAGATACACATACGCAAGGTCTGGCACGACCAAACTTTTAATTCGCCTTCTAAAAAGATTGGTACAATTTATTGATTAAAAAGACTGTTTCGTTTTTACTCATGGCCTTATTAAACTTCAGAATTTGAAATATGTTAGCAGAAGTTGCATCTCTAAAACTGGAACTATAATAACTTTGAAGATTCACTGGGAAAGTCTTGAAGATATCACACAGATAATGATGTTATAGACCTTGCTTCTGATCGCTTTGGTAATATTTTACTAATAGGTTGAACATTTTCTTGCTTTGGAAAGTTGAAATATCATTGACGAGGTAGGAGAAAAGTTTGTAATTGCTTCCAACATAACTGGTCAAAAGATAGAATTTAAATAATTGTTTATATTTAAAGATGAAGTAAATAAATATACCGCAAAATATAAACTCACTGTCGTCAATGGGCTGATTACTTTGGAAGTTTTTGATCTCGAAGCACTTATTTTTGCTGATATGCTGCCTAGACATGAAGGGATGAGAACGAATACACTTCAGAGATGGAAGATTTTCACAGGCAATATTATCTTTTTCATCGCTGTCTAATTCATCAATCTCCAACTGAAAATCTGAAAACGCAACAAACATATTCCTTGTAAAGGAACGGAAGAATTCTATTTCTTTTCTAGTCACCGAAATCACTATTTTTGATCAGTAAAATGATACCTTTCTGAAAATACAAATATCCAATGATTGAAAAAATATAAACAAGTATAACAGCTAATAAACCAGTCATTATAATTGATTGCCAGTTTCGGGTTACAGATCGAATTACATTTCGCAAGGTTTCCTCACTTGCCACAATATCAAATAGCTAAAAAATTTCGGCATGCAAATTTCTATATAATTTCAGAAAGAATTTGGGCAGTTTAATTTGAAAAATTAAGGATGGTAATAAGTTGCAACAGTTTTTGGTTTTTACAACTCTAATTAAATCATCGCTTCAAAATATAAAAAAAATAAAACGACTTTATGCAGAGTTATGCAAAAGTATTTAGATAGTTGAAGAAATACATGAAGAATTAAAAAAGACTTACAAGTAAAGCGTAAAAGAGTGGATGCACAAAGAGACCTTGAATACATATTAGCAAATATGCCAGATGATACCAGATTCCCTTGTCTTGAAGTCGTTCAGGCCACGTTTTATCAATTAAACCACGGTTGCCTATATAGCTTACTATATGGACTCCTTTATTGACCAACTGAAATTTATTTCTCGATTCAAAAGGCTTTTTTTTCACACTATGATAAGAAAAGTCATCAAACAAATCAATTAAATTACACGACTTTTATCCGCTCTACTAATTTATAACTTAATTCAAGGTACTCGTGCAAGATGCATACATTCACAGTCTGGCAAAGCGTGCTAAAATAATTTTAAAAAATGGCTGTAAAATCTTTCTAATACCAAGACGAATCCAGCAGGAGCCTACCTGAAGCAAACCAATAATGTGTAGCGTTGTCGCTACTCCAATTACAGTAATAAATAAAATCGTGAAACTTGACATGATCGCGGCAAATGCCCAATAAATCTCATTCGTTCTTCCAAGCGAAGCTCTATAAGTCTATCATTTTCCTTTGCAAAATTAAAAATATATTCTGCTTCTATGGCAATCACTACTAATACTTCAAATTTGGCAGATCCACATAATGCGAACTTGAAATTTAATACATCAATGTTTCCCTTAATACTTTCAAATATTTAATATATACTTTTCACTCCATTGTGTTCGCAGAAACAGCAACGATACTGTAGGAAATACATAAAGGAATGGATTACTCGGAGATATTAATTCTGAAAATATAAAATTTTGTATGAAAAAAAAAATCAAGTGGGGTGCTTCACGCATTTCCACAAAACAGTAATTCGATAAATGAACATTCACAAGAACTTTCACCTTCAATTTTGTTAAAGCATAATTTAGCAAATGAATGAGAAATAAAGTGTATTCTATAAGTTCTAGACAAACTGAGATAATATTAGTCTGCATGTTCGGATTAGTCTAATTTAAGATTCTCACGATAATATCAAAAGACTATTGAAATATTGTGTAATAAACTATACCTTCTTTACTATTTCCTGAAAAAGGATAAAATACTGCAATGACCGTATTGATCAAAACAGCAAAAAAGAATGATATCCTGGCCCATAGTATCAGTCGTTTTGTACAATTACTAAAGTATTTTCGATCTGAAAATTTTGAAATCACCAACCAAATCAATAAAAGACGTATACCATTTCAACTAGGCACCTAAGACATCTTCATACTTACCTTGAAGTTTTTTTTGCCATTTCATCTCCTCGAAAAGTTTCGGCCACTGATCGAAAAATTCTGTTACCTAGAAAAATACACAAGCGTTACTAAATAAGCCAGTTGATGTTTTAGTTTTTTTGGCATTTGCGTAGCATGTATTTACCAGCCACAGCTTCAAGTCAAAATAGGAAGATCAAAGAATGAGTAAAATAAAATAATTAACAAAAAATATAAAAAAACTTTAGATCCTTGAGCATCTTGTTCGGTCTCCAGCAAAATGTTTAACTTTGATTCTGGTGTAAGATATTCACATATAGCATGAATTGGGAATATTACCCGCTCCATTTTACGGTCACTGCGAACTATCTAAAACATCTCTCGTTTTCAAACATAGAAATAAAACTATAATTTTAGTCTTAATCATTCATTGATACTAAACCTTTATAGTCATCGATACGTCATAAGGCGTCTCATACTTCATATTATCCAGTTACATTAAAATTTTTTTTCTGATAATAAAATGAAGTTTAATATTACCAACAATTTAACTGTATCACTGTCATCATATATATAAACTACAATTTTACGAAAATTTTTCACGTTGTCAACCTAACACTCATTCATATGGTATCAGATCTATTCTCCTTTGATTTTGCGTTTTAAATTGCTGAACAAAGCTGCCGTTATTTCGGGAACTGTATCAATTGATGACTTCTTCCAATTCAAACCGAAATTTCAACTTCAAACCTCAATCTGTGCAGTGTACTGCTTGTAATACCGTAAAGCTTTTGAAGTCATCGCATCTTTATTATTATCTGGATCTAAAGCTTCTCGAAGTGTTTCATTGTATCGCGAAAGTTGCGTGGCAAGAATGAAGATATTATGTCCTACCTAATAAAGAAAAACCAGTGAGGAAACACCAGTAATGAATTATGAAAAAACATATCAGAAAAAAAATTGAAGCTTTACAATAAGTAAAATAACAAAAACACCTCTTGTGGATCGACAAGAGTTATATTGATAGATGGATACGATTCAACGATATTATCCTTAATAGCAATATCTGGTCTACTTATTCTAGGCTTCGATTTTATCAATAAACAATTTGTCTGAAAATTTTAAAAACCATTTACTATATTTGTCATTATTTGATTAGTAGGCCACTTCCTAATAGCCTCATGATTAGAACAATAAAATGGAGATTTATCTTTTGAAATACCAACTCAGAGGGTTAATCATTTCATATTAACCTCATGCACAGTGTTTTTCCTTTTCCCGATGTCTATGTACGAAACAAATGATTGACACGGAAATAATCTGACAAATTCTGACATGAAAGCACGTACGTGGATTTCAGTGAAATAAAAAACAAAGCCTTAACGAACTTCAATACTCTTCCTTGTTTTTGACATTACGAATTCTTTCAGTTCCGACATTTCATATGCCATTTTGATTGCTTGGACCTTAAAATTTTAAATTTTCAAATAGTGGAGCTGAACTTACGAAAATAGCTAAAGAATAAATACAGCTTAAGCAATAAGACTACAACGTATGAAATTCCGAAAAGCAAGGGTATGAAGGGCCTTATATAAACAAGGCTTTTTGCCACAAATTTTAAAATTCAGTTCATTATTTACAATATCTTTCATCTAAAAATTGTCCAGAAAGCTAAACATTCCATAGACTTTTAAAAGCTAAAATATATTTTGCAAATTGCTTCAACACATTTTTACCCAACGCTCCTATCATAGCGTTGAAATGAAGCTTCAATTCATTTGTTTTAATGAGTTCAGATTTTTACTAATTACAGCTGAAATAGCCATCTTTATTTGATCACCAATGAAAGTTTATCATAAGCTTACCAGTTGTTTCGCTCCACTGGCCATGTGATCCATGTTCATGAGCACGCGTTCCGCATTATCGGCATCACGACATGATTCCATGACAGCCAACAACAGCTTTGATGCAGCGCTCTAAAACAAGATGTTCGAGATTTTAAAATTATTAAGTTTAAACAGTTATTATTAATCTCAATTCAATTGTCAGTTTTTCATTCAATTTCTTTTACAGATCCTTTTCGTTTTAGAATTAAAACATAGTGTTCAAGAAGTTACAAGCAAAATTGCATCTACTCACCTTTATTTCCAGTGCTAAATCCATATGCGTTAAACAAAGTGGTTTAATTTCATTCAGCACCAAAGATATTATCATATTAAGTCCAGACTCATGATTGCCAACCGTATTCTAGAAAATACTGTCCTCTTCACTTCAGATGCTTTTGTGGTCGAATTTTTTGTATACAGGTGTGTATACCAAAAAACCTAAATGTTTACAAAAAAAAGAAAAAAAAACGGAAACCAAAAGCGATGCTGATAATTCCACTTTCTTGTTGATGTATCCTAAATTTCTTTTAAAATAACAAATATAGAATAAAAATTCGTTACCTGATTTTCATAGCAAGGACCCTGACAAAATTCCGTTAATGTGACCAATGTCTGAGTAATCAACGAGAAATTATGTTCGTCTATTTCACCAAATACACCCAGACTTCCTGCAATTTTTCTTATGCAGAATTTTTAAATTGCTTAGCAATTCAGATAGGAGGGAAAATTTTAACCAAAAGGATCTATTAAATAAATAAGGCAGAAAAAACCTTTAGTGCTACCGCAAATAACGTCAAGGAACATAAGTATTTCGTCAACCAAATTATAATTCTGACGACTGCCTTGATACCGCAGGAAATTCTAGAACAATTCAACCTTAAAAAATTATTGGTGTACTTCAGAGAATTTTTTCTAAAATGAATTACTGATCATTAACCTGTAACACCAAATTATGATTTTCACATAGCAACTGTAGAAATCGCAAAATTGGTTCAATAAGAGCAACTTCTTGAGGGAGAAGTATCTTTCTGAAATGAGCTACATAAAAAAATCATAGGAAATTATGAAGATCGTTATGTTTTAATGACACTTCCAGTAAGCTATGATTTCCAGTCAAGTATGTCATACTAGAACCGCAAATCTTGAGTAATTGCTATCACTTCAAAAGTATAGAAGTTTACAGTAAATAAAATTTATAAGAAACTCATTTGCATTTACAGTGAACTCCCTTCCTTTATCCTCCTCATCGCTGAAGTCGCAGTTGAACTGCCCAAAATGCGTAAATAATTTTTAAAATGAACCTACTTGTCATCCCAAAAATTAAAGTTAACATCGGGATCAAACAATCCAGGAAGATAACCATCCGGAATAGCCGATAATGAAGCAGTTAATTCGGTCGAATTAACTGACTTCAGTTCTTTCGGAGTGTATGTTGATTCTTCCGGCAATGGAGAATTCATCACAGATGCTATTAATGAATTGACACTGAGATACGATAAAATAAATTGATATATAATGCATAAAAATAAAATTTTGTGAAATTCTAGAATCTAAAAAATTATGGAGGGGAACTATGTCTTTTGAAATATATTACATATTTTCCAAATTTATTATCACCAGCAATCGTTCCTTTTTTGAATTCTTCAACAACAGAAAATATGATTTCTTGATTTTTTAAGCCACATAAACACTAAATAAAGAATTGCAGAAATGCATGCTACAGTATGCGAGAAAACTTACAATGTTCACTGATTGTATTAGATACTGCTAAAAATGCATGAATGAAATTTATAAAAATTAGAATAATGCAGGAAGAAGAATTTAATCCTTGTAAGAATTTTTCAAAATTTAGTTTTTTTGATGCAGGTTGATAATTATCGCTACTAATAATATGATTTTTTCCAGAACTTTTCTGTGATATAGCTCATAAAATTGAACACGGAGATATTTTTAATAACCCACAATGTCGTTGACGTGAATCGTTGCAAGCCATCATATCACTTTTTAGCCTATTTTGTGCAACTTGCAGTTTTGTCTTGAGAGCGTTGAAAAATGCATCCGACGTATTCTGTTCTTTTAATCGATTATAAAATGACATCTGCACCTAAAACTTAATTCTTTCCAGATCGTCTACATTTTTCATAAAAATTTGTGAAACCTAAAAATAATTTAATATCAACGTTGGACCCGACATCTCCAGGAATGATATGAAACAGCGAATAAGTTGAGATCGAAGATTATAAATAATAAGGTGCCAAAAAACCAGACTTCATAATTTCCTTCGTGGAGAAGTGCTTTTGAAAGTTGAATTGCCATTAAAAAAACTTCATGATTCGGTTCTTCCATAATCAGATCAATCACCAAATCTAAAAATATAATTTTTTAAACACATAGAAAATGATTATAACAAATAAAGGCTGCATATTATTGTGCATAGAAAATAAATACAAATTCCCTCCATTTTGCGCATTTTATTGAAGGTTTTAACTGTCTAATTTCAGTAACTTTGAAAGCACACATTGTTGAATAATCACATTTCCATTTACTTCTGATAAATCGATTTCTTATAGCATCCTCATACTCTTTTGATCTTATTTGTAGAAGTTGTCAGTAATACGAAACGTTACTATTACGAAACAAAAGTTATAAAAACAAAACAAAATAAAAAAAACTTGAATGAACAACAGCCAATCAGGATAATACAGAATGTCAAAAAATGGCGTGAAACACAGAATTGAAATGACCTGGGTGCATCAGTATCAATTTTGTATGCTTTGCACTTGCCCTTCGGCATTTACTTTTTATATTACCTTTATCCAGATCAGATCGACGTTGGAAACAATAATGATCTTTGTGTCAATTTACAAAAAATAGATTTTAGATGCTTACAGATCAAGAAGCCTGAATGCTCAAGAAAAAAAGTTATATCAGAAGTGCAAGAATTGTCAGTGGATATTTTACGAATTCGCCAACTCAGTAATAACTTATTCAAATTTTTAAAGATCAGAAATACATACCGCTAGCACCAGCACTGCCCAATTTACATTGCACGTCATACAATGATAGTTCCTTAATTGGTTTTAGTTCATTTTCAAATTCGCGTTCTGAAAACTAGCACAAATGAATTGTTTAGTTCAATATTGAGCAATTTGTGAGTTAATTTGCAACTTGTTGATCCAAAACAATCCATAACCTATTCTTGCTCAAAAAAATGCAAGAACATACAAAAACACTTTGCATAAGTTTTTGGAATACCGTTGATTTCCAGTTTTGTATTTTGTGCATTCATGCTACATAAAGCGTCAGCACCAAAATATCGTTTGAGCAAACGAATTCGCACTTCTCTTGCCTAAAATTGCATGTATTGAATACTTGAAACAAATAATAATTACCGGAATTCTTTTCCACCTAAATCAGTTAAACTTAAACTTAAATTTTTAAATTTAAATCACTTAAATCAGTGAAACAAATTCTATATGCATAACGCCAATACATTTGGATGAAAATCTACTAGAAGTAAAAAATGTCTAGCAACATCCTATAAAATCTTGAATTGGAAAACCTATTCTACTTTGTGTGCCAGGATAAAAGCCTAACTCGCTGATAACCCCATCTTTATATAAAAATATCTCTGAATACTATAGGTTTGCATGTTTTAGCAAATTCTGTATTACTACCAGTGTCTGGATAAAACTTTAATTCAAGTTATTTATAAGCATGCAAAAGCATGCAAAATGAACAGTTTATATTAATTAATTGAAAAAAAAGACGAATATGATTATCTGCATTAATATAAACCGAATGCAAATAACATAAAATTGCCGATTTTCAACCATTCAACTAATATCATACAGAAAAGAAAAGCTTGCTGAAATTAGTATTTTCGATGCATACCCATGGAGATTTTAATAATTCCCACTCTGCGAAATTGTTCTAAATATTTACAAAAGTTAATACTCATTTTTTTGCAAATAAATCATAAAGTATGATTTATCGATTTTTTGTATATGTCTTCAATGCAAAGAAAACCGATAAAACTGAATGCGTGTTAACGACGAAAGGTTTGCTATGAAGCAGCTACATAAACATTTCTTTTTGTGGCAATTTTCATGATCATCTTGATAATCGTCGCTGATTCAAAAAAAATGCGCAACACGGTGTAGAAAATAAATTCTGACTTGTTAAATTACATTACTTTTTTTAAACATTAAATTATGTCACTTTTTACAAAACGACAAAAAATTGAAGTCGAAACTATCGGCCAGTAGGTAATAAATATTATTTTGATAGTTAATTACACAGTTAAACATTCGAATAATTTTACGACCAAATTATACAATCCTAAGATGGTGACAATATAACACCGATTGAATAACAATTACTAAGCAGTGAAATTGAAAGTGAAGAAAATCAGAAAATAATACATTCGTTTAACAAAACGTTCATATAAAACTTGACCCGTTAATCTGGTTTTATTATTTGTTTAATTACTCAAGAATAGGGTCATACCTGATTAATAAAGTTGTATTTAGTGTTGGAAGCCATTCGACAAAGTATCTGCAATACTCGTACACACAGAGCTTCCTGCTCATGTTGCAAAAGTGATTTACAGTGCTGTATCAACCTAAAATTTGGTTCCAGTGGATTAGCCTGCAAGGTTAGCAGAAGTCCAAAGTGATACATGACATATAATTAACGGTAACGATAAAAAAAAACTGGAAATAAGCAGATCGGGAAAATATCTAATGCGTCTAGCATTTGATATTTTCACTGTGCAGAATTGCAATTAAGTAAAACTAGGATTACAGCACATCCAAGTTTATCCTTGCCCATTAGTCTATTTATATTCAAATTAAAGATTCCAAAACAGAATATTGATAGGATTAAATGAAAAACAGGACACCGCATCATGCATCTGCAAATAGCAGTTCATGTTGCTTAAAGTGCATTTCATAAGTTCATTTATGACCCAGATACGCAAATAAAAATGATCTAACATATTACTTCACAATGACTACGCCATTTTCACATTCCTGATGTAAATCAGAACCAGGGACAAATAATCTTTCGGGCGCATGCAACAAGTCCACAAGCACTGATGTTTCGGCTGCTTGCAATGGCAATGCAAACATTTTGAATTCAGCAACCATCGCCTACAAGCATGGAATTTTTCGAAATATTTAAAAAACGCACACTGAGAAACCTTTTCCCCTTTTTCTTTTTCGACTTTCCAATAAATAGTGCTATGTTGTACAAATGTGGCTAAGATATGATCGCCCAAATTGAGTGAAGTAGCAGATATACAGAGGCGATTACGAAACATTGTAAGGAAACAATGTCAACTAAGCTTCTAGGCAATATAGCTAATGGACTAATTTGACGGGTGAATTTGTATTCAGAATCAGGAGTTGCCTCCGGCTATCCTAACGTGTAGTGAATAACGACCAGGACAAACCTGATAGCATGAAACAACATCATTAAAACTTTCAGTAACTTGTACGTAACGTGGTACGTGCAAACGAGCTTTGGATCGTTTATTTGCTTGATTGATAAAATGAGCTGAATTAAAAGCCGAATACCAACGCTGTTTAACAGTACTTTCAGTAGACAGTGTTGACATACAACCATTAACTGGTAATATAACTCCATTTTCTTCTGCTAAAAACGGAATTGCAAATCATTGGAAAATTAAAACACCAATGAATTTCTGAATACAACCAGGACTCCATCATAATCTTGAAGTTTTAAAGATGTAGAACTATTAGATGCATAAATAGTCCATATGCCTTTACGACAATTATAGACAGAATGATGTTATTTCCACTATACGTGAAAAGAGAAGCAAAAATAAAATACAAAATTGGTGCTAAATATAGAACCTGTCAACAATAAGAATAAGCTAACCACGTCTACTAAGTCGTTTAACACATTCTGCAACATAATACCAATTTTTTGTAAAGCTTTTCCTTTCTAATTTTGCTTGCAGCTGACCAAGCCTTTGAATCATTCTAGGGAAGGACTGACGATGTTGCTAAAATTTGGAAAAATAGAAATAGTTCGAGCACAGTTCTAGAAAATATCGCATAGAAATGATGAAAAACAAGACAGGGTTTTGACTATTTAGTATACATAAAAATTTTTGATTGAACATTAATTTATTCATTAAAATGAATTAAAATGAATTCAACTAAATTGCGCCAACAAATCAAATAAAATTGCTAAGGATGAAACGATAATATTTAAATCGAAAATTTCAAACGAATATGTAAACAAATCTACCGAAATTTCCACTATCAGTTGGTGAGCTGAAGGCCTTTCGAACAGTTTAAGCAATACTTCAGTAACTGTGTGACAAACGTATTTCTCAAGTGCTGAATTAGACAACAAAGTAGGCTTTCCTTTCTTCAGCTACAAATATCTATTCTTATTATTTATGCGCATAAAATTTTTAAAAGAAAACAGAATGACTGCATACTTAAGTGTCGAAGTAACTGTCTGTTGAAACTGTTGGTGATTCAAAGGACAACGGATGCTAATGAGAGATCCTGCTACAACTAGCAAAACTTGATTCAAGATTTTACTAGTGCAAATCTTTAAATTGTATCCAGAAATCTTGAGATCATGATTATAACACTACGGAATTAAATCTTGAAATACTATTTCAAAATAAAAACTCAAAGAATAAAAAAACCTGCGACAAACTGTCGATATACATCTCTATATCACCAAGAATATTTTTCAGAATTCTTTCAATGAAATCAACGTTGTCAACATCTTTCATTTCCGCATCCGCATCTATATAACAGTGCAACATAAATTGCAAATACACATCTTTCACCTATAACAGTAATACTTCAATTTTAACTATTTATGTTTCGATAAGAAATGGCTAAAGCAAGCGCATCAATAAAACAATCATTTTTGAACCTATGGTTAAGTAGACTAAAGTACTTCTGTGGCTTGAAAAATAAAAACACAGCCATTGTCTCTGAAATACCAAATTCATTTGGTCAAACTTACTGCATCGAGAACGCAGTTTTAACACGATAAATATTGCAGAACTCATGTTTGCAATAATCACAAAGATAGTGATTTTGTTATCCATATATTGTGTTTAGATCATGTTGTATTTGGATAACTTCGTGAATTAAATCACCGCATGACTTAATCTATGTCCATTTCATTGAATGTTTGATTTACGCCTTTTTTGATATGCTTATGCGCCCGCAGTTATTGTGACCATTCAACAAATATCCTGTACTATTCTCTATTTCCGCAAGATCTCAGTAGTCGAAATCCGCTTACGGTTACATCAGATAAATCTTGAGATATTCTCAATGCAATTGGTATTCGATAGCAATCAATCTGAGTTAGGTCGTCTTGATGTTTGCCCCAGTGTCATACTTCCACTCTGGTTTATCCATGATGAAAGGCTGGTAAAAGTTGACGAATTTCTTCCACCGGATGTCTTTCAGCCATCACAGACGAGTTAGTACAAAAACTTAGAACTGTAAAAAAATTAATTAAATAGCAAATGAGAACAAATAAACCTGTATTAAACAATACGGTGACGTTAAAACGCGCACTATATGATCCATAGAAAGCTGGGAAGCGCACTTTAGTTCCGTCGTGCTGTTTCGTCCACGCGTGCAGAAAGCGAGAAGCCTGGAATATCGGTATCAAAACGTCAAGCATATGATTAATAGCAAAATGCTTTTACAAACACCTTTACTTTTTCGTATGGCAGATGATGATAATGATGAAAGTACCTCTTCAGAATTCACTTCAACCGGATTCATTTACTGGAAAACTTTTTCTTAGTAGTGCAGCTGTGAGCTATGTGAAATTATATACCTACCGTACCAGGTCGATGTGATAACGTAGTGGATGATCAACAGTTAGCTCTTCGGGGCCTGTGTTTTGCATTAGCTGCTTCAATTGCTCGAAACTTGCACTATCTGCATAATATAATCGTACATCATCAGAGGATGAGCAGATCTGAAATGAAAACATTCTTCGACTTCGATTTTCGATACTATATTTATGTGTATCATGCGTCATATCGTAATTCCTATCCTTATTACAAGTTGATATGACTACCGTCGTATAATCAATTTGTAATGGGGATAAATTGATCTAAGAGAAAGTAAAAAGCGGCATGATATATTAGCAGTGCTACCATGCTTATACGCATAAAATAAACGATGTCTCCTTACTATTAACTAATAAGGAGAACGAGAGAATTCCTGAAAGTTACCTCTTGAGCTACTTTTTCTTGGGCCGATTTGATTTCTTTCTCTTGCACCATGACAACAGTTTGTAAAAATTCTATATATACGGCGCTGCGACTTTTGTGTTCAATCATATTTACAATATGCGCAACAAGTTCTTCGGATACATTTTGACACAGTACACGATTGTTTTTGAAAATCGCTGTAAGTGTTGCAACTTCTTCCATCTGAAGATCGTGAGATTCATGAAACTTTCACTTTTTGGTACGGCTAATTATAATTTAAAGTGCTATTTTTTGTTGAATTTCCAATCTACATTTTAATAAGTAGTAAAATATGCCCCGGAGCTATCATGACAAAACGTATCATTTAGCTTTCCACAGCACGTTTCGTTCGAGGTTTTAAAAGATCCGTTGCAGGAGTTATAGAAGTCAGTTAAATAATTTCATTTATATAAATCATTATTACTACTTTTGTATCCATGGCGAAAATTATATCAGTCAAAACAAGTTTCAAATCAGAGCTAGTAGGACCAATTAACAAAACAAGCAGATTCAAAACCATAAAATCAAGTTGTACCGTATTCACCCTCAAATATCCTTCTTTCGCATCTTGTTCGATAGAAATATGTTTGTACAAGTGAAACTGATTCTCAATATTATTGCGACAAAAACTTCGCAAGAATTCATGGCTCAGTGTGACAAGTTTTGACATTTCTGCATCATTTTTCTAAACCACAATAACTTCAAATTTTATAAAGCATGCTAATAAACTATTACAACGTTTTTTTTGCCCGAAGATCGTTTCTAATATTAAAAAAATGTATTGAGCTTCTTTAATTTTCTGACCGAAAAGTTTTAGAAGCTAACTTCGTCATATGGAATGGAAAGAAATCCGAGAACATATTCATGTACACGCATATTCCGTAATAGTTGCTGATTCATCTTATCCGGTTTGTCATTTTTGTAACAGAGTTGTTTTACACGATATAAAATCTAAATTCGCATGCGCTCATTTATTTTGAACTACACTGTGCAATACACCATAAATGAGATGCGCCGAAAATTGATTTAATATATCAGAAATATATTTAATATTTCTCGCAATTTCCACCATTTAACATATTAATATATTACGCGTAACATACCTGTCTTACTAGAGGATAACTTATCAGCGGTGCACGATCAAACAATTCATATAAGGCTGAAGCTGCTTCTGTTCGATCATCACCGAGAAGCAGCTAAAAGCAATGATCTCAGACTCTCTTTAAGTTGTATTCTTTCCAAATCAAAATTCAAGTTCACTTTATTAAACAAGCAAATGGAGACAGTAAACTTATGTTTTTAATAAACCTTTTTTTCTTCAATTTATAATAAACGTGGTACAAATACTTTTTGGTACATGCACTCAAAAAATAAATAAGTTAATTTTAACTCAATTCTTAAAGTACATGAAGCCTATCAATCCCCTCTCCAGAAGAAAATATGAATAGAAATAGTAGTGCATTAAAATTGAAACTGAACTATTGCTTTTTATGCCTCAAAATTTCAGTAAGAATCTGTAAAATCGTAAAAATTTAGCACAGATTTTTTATTCATTTTTATCATTATCTTTTCTAAATTATTGCAAAATCTTTTCACTACTCCAGTGTAGTGTCTTCACACTAGTGCGCGAATCCATTAAATTTATGTAAAGATTTTGAAGGCTACGAAATCATTTATGAAAACAACTCGTGAGGTTTACTAGAACGCTAAACTATCAGTGAACACCTTTTTATCTGAAAAAAGTGGTAAAGAAGAATTATCTGCAATATTTTCACAAGTTCCTTAAAATTTGAAAAAAAAATAATGAAATTCATTTTAATTTACCTCACATAACAACTTGATGCACTCATCTTTAGCTAAATAATAATGCTGTTCAATCTTTTCCACCAGTGAACGAAAACTTTCATTGTTGTGAAAAGCACAAGAGACATTTAAACCGTTATCTTCCAACTGTTGACTGGTAGTTTGTCTGTAAATTCTAACAAAACATTTATCTTTTTCGTGATTGACTAAATAATTTAATTTTTTTTTAGATATTTTGAACTATTTAAAAGTTTTCCTTAGCAGATTGAAAGCAAACGAACATTGAAATAGATGGCTTTGACGAATCGTCAAGACTTGAGCTACGTTCTTCAAAACTATGATTACTACTACTTTCAGATCGCGTTTTATCAGCTTGTACCCAGAGTTCGCTTTTTTCCGTAAGAATTTTCAAAATGAACAAATCGCGGTCAATCTGTCGATAATTTTCCACATCATCGTTCGAGACTAACAACTGAACCTACAAAAATATTAATCAGCGAACATATTAGAGCCTTAAAACAATGTTGGTTCGGAGTGTTCATGCACTGTTCATGCACCCTTAAATTCAAGAATTTAACGACAAGATCATTTCACAAAGATTCTGAACTAGTTTTTTTTTGTAGTTCTGTTGTTCAGCAAAAGAAAGCCACTGCAAAATTACGGCCAAGTTGTGAATACAAAAAGAATATAGTTTTGCAATACGTATGAAAAATATATATATGTGATTCTTAATATGTACGGTGACCGTAGTATTTAAAAGCTTTGCTTTTTTAAATAGTAGGAATTAATATTTTACACTTTTTTGAACCTTTTCAAAAAAATCATTTCAAACTCTATCAGAAATCCCGATCTGAATTTTCTAAGAACAGCAGCTATCTAAAAAACTATAAAAAACTATTTTGTTTTGACAAATTTTCTTCTTAGCATAAATCATTTGAAATTGTTATCATTCAACAAGATAATAATAAACTTACTACTTGTATAAGTAAGCAGAACCTATAGATAAATTTATAGAAGATTTAATGATAACTTTTTCTCTCACAAAATTAGATTATAATAAGGAGTATAATAAATAACACCTTGTTTGAAACGACATATTACCTGCTTGAGATCCTCCACAAACTCTTGATATTGTGTGAAATGGCGAAACAATACCGTAAGAGCTGTACTCGTTAGCTTTGAAAAATCACTTATTGTCATTTGCAGAAGTATTCGTAAAAGTTGACCATTCTTACCATCAAAATCAAGCTTCTCTTCACAATCTTGAAATACCTCTTTATATAATTGTGATGCTTCCTGTTCTGACAAATCTGAAATTTCACTTATAAATATATTCAGGACCACAGTAAAAGTTTTTTTTTCCAAATTAAATGGGTATTATATCACCACAATTTCCTCAAAAAAGGAAAAAAATCTGGAAAAATGAGTGAAAATGAAATTTTCACTCTTTGCGAAATTTCTTTTCTAAAAAGAGATAAAGCTATACAGAACTGAAACATGTTGAGCGCATCTACTCAATTCTTTACATATTTCAAAATGCAAATCTTCACAAATACATATAGTCTGCAAAATTAAACTCTTTTGAAGATTACTTCAAATATGTAATAAAAGCTATAACAAAACATAAAAATGAATTGCCTGCTTTAGAAAGAAGTCCTCCGAGTTCGTCACATGGAAAACGTTTTTTAAACCAAGATAGAGCAACTGTGATACGATAATCTCGACGTACATCCATGATGAACTAAAATCATACAAATGTTTGAATGTCTATAGTTAGATCATTCATTTTTGCAAGATATCATTAATTAATGAAGTTGGCGACTTACATTTAAAATTTCAACGACTATAAGTTTTGTTTGCAAAATCATTTGTTTACTTTCTTTAGCATGAAACGTATTTTGGGTAGACGTAGATTCTGCTTGCATGTTCGGAAGATATTGCTTAGCTCCTTTCTGCAGTGCATTTGCACCAATTACTGAGTATGTCACATGACGAAACAAACCCGTTTTGTCAAACCCCATTTTTTCTGGAATAAACACTACAAAAGCTTTGCATCTGAACTTTTTCAAAAGTTATGAAGTATCGAAAGATAGAATTTCTTCCCAAATATATCAAAATATTCATGGTTGTTTTTTTCTTCATTTATATTCTTTACTGCAAAGTTGCAGTGACTGCAAAGTTTGATGTATTCATACTATCAAACAACCTTATAAAGTCGTCGGAAGTTGCTCGTTGCTTTTGATTTCCATACTGATGCTTCCTGCATTAATTATACTTGGAAACAACGTTAGATTATTGATTCTGAGTTTGATTAATGAAGGACGCTTCAATACAGAAAAACAATCAAAAGCAGATTATTTTTAAGAGAAAGAAGGAAAGAATTATATCATTATCACCGCGTTTTCTAGAAATTTTATAATTCTCTAGAAATTCTATAAAAAATTGGCAATCTATATAAGAAACTCTGGATTATAGATAAAATTGAAATTGTCGCAGAAGTCATGTTTCGAGAAACCTTTTCCCTAATTTATTTTCACTTTGTTTGGGAGTACACAGTTCAAGATTAACTGAACAAATTTCAATCCCACAATATCTCTTATAAACTAGAATCCGAAATAAGCTAAAATACCTTCAGGTTTTTTTGGGCTGCTGTCAGCAATAGCTAACAAATTTTGAGCAAGACGAAGCAAATCTGCAAAACTGTAGAATCCGAAATGAGCTAAAGCTCGTGCAAGTGTTACGATCTGAAAACGATTAAATTAATAGCACCCATTGACACAATAAAATTTTATGTCTCTCATGATGAACATTTAAAAGAAAATATTATAGATACTACCTCAAAGGTTAATTGATTTTGCTTCACTTTTGATGCACTTGGATCCAAGACAGGTTCACCTTCTCGTGTCGTTTTGCGCAATTCCTCAAGGTACACATCGACAGTTTTTAAAACTTCATCGGAAACTTCTCCTCCAGTACGTACATGACCACCATCAACATAACCATTCACAGATCGACTTGAGTTCCTGTACGTGCATCAAAAGTGATGCAAAGATTCTCACACAACAGAACATATTACTAAAGTTTTCTTGTAAAATTTTTCATAAAGATTTCATTTTTTTGAGAGATCCTGCTACTTTTTTTAAATATTGCCGGAAATACCCAGAAATTGTGACATGTAGCGGGATCTCACGCCATAAGCGAGCATGATGTACGGCACTGAGTGGAGAGCCACGTATGATATGCAGATGAAGCATGAGACGTGTGAATGAAGCACGCAAATCTTGAGGTAATCTCGTATCCGAAATGCACCTAGAATTTTATATTTTAAAAACAAATTGATTGAAAATTTAAAAAAGTGCAATTCAACAAGTCCTTGCTTATTTTTTTCAAATTATTCAGTGAACTTTTTTATACTCATCCAAAAGTTTTTAATACTCACAAAAACGTAAAACAATGCAAACCTAAGGACCAAATCAGCTGGTAATTCTAAACTTAAATTCATAAGACGTCTTTCAGGAGGAGGATCAATTGCGAGATACTGTTGGTCCTGACACATTTGTGCTAGAAGATCTAACTGATGTCTGAAAAGCCCGTCTCTAAGACACTTGTTAATGTTAATGAAGTGACATTCGAAGTTATTGAATTCCTTTTTCTTCCAAACTTTAAAAAGATTATAAAATTTTTGTTGCAATGCTGCAATTAAGCCGTTAAAAAAGCTTTATAGAGCAACTTATTAGTAAATGTCTTGAAAAATTTGTACTTGTAATAATCAAGTATTTCAATATCCTCAGTTTGACCTTTAGCAGCATCCACTGCCACAGAAACCAACTGTTTGCAATAGCAATTCGACCAACTAATCCACACTTCGTCACAGCTCTACAAGTTTTGCAGTGGATAGAATATGCATGGTTTTTTCTTTAAAGAGAATTAATGAAAATAACTCATATTATTACTTAATAGGATATCAGCAAACAAGACACATCAAAACACTCGATTAGCCTATTTTTCTACATAACTGTGTAACGTTATGATTTTTTATGTGAAGTTAATTTTATTACACTATACTTGTACGCTGTTGACCCAAAACTTCTTACAAGTTTATCTTGTAAAACCTAGATTTCTGCCTATGAAAGCATGATTTACAGCTTACTTTGTCATAAATGATCGTGCTAATAAAGATGTCACGATTCAATTCGTTTAACACACAACTGCAGATCAATTCCTGAATCTTTTTATTGGCTTCACCGCGACAAACACAAAGATCCGCCAAATAATCCAAAAACCTAAACAGATCAATTTATTCAACAAGATTTAAGAGATAATTATGATAAGAATAGCTTGTCAATCGAGTTGTGATATTTGTGAGATAAAGAAATTAAAAGAAGACTTATTTACGATCCGGCCGACAATCATAATTTAACCAGAAAACGCAATCTATTGTATGGCTAACAAGCTAACTAAATTAATCCTAAACTAAATTTATCATAGCTTTCAAAAAAAAAGAAGCAACGTACCTACCAGCTTTGTTGTTGCGGACGAGTTCCACAAAACGTTCTACATGCGGATTCTTAACATATTTTTCTAACAACTTCGGATTATTGTGGAGAACAGCAGTCATTGTGTCTTCTGCAAGCAAGTCAAATCCAATCTGCTCCTGTATTTGGCCAAATTTTTCTGCTAGATATTCTTGATTCTTCCGGTAACCCACCTGTGAATACCTAAAATTATGCGGCAATTTAAAAGAGCACATATTCTATACTTCTGCATTATGATATATGTATAAATAAGTAAAATTTGATGCACATGTAAAGAGTGATATCTTATTATCAGAGGTCACGTTTTGATTAACACATGCGTAACAAAACATGACTGCAACAAATCGTTTGAATTCTTCCAGTCTCACTTCCGTTCTACCATCTGAACAGACTTCAGTCTGTTGAGTCTGAAGAAGACTATTCAACAGTCAGATGAGCCTTTTAAGTGAGATGAATGGCGTAAGTCAAATGAATTCAAAAAGTATCTATAAGAGCTAAAAAACATGGTGTTAGTGCTACAGATAAAAAAAACATTCTAAAAGCAAAAAATTTGCAAATCTTAGTTCAGTAAGGTGACATCACACGATAACCATTCAACAGCTCACTATTTTCTTTGGTAGATGTTGAAAAAAGAGATATTCGCACAATGTGATCTCTTTGGAGTATCACATTTGCTACTCTTAAAAAATTTCTAAAATAAGTGAAAGAAGTCAATACTTAAGCAATGAGTAGCAAAGGTGAAAAATTCGTTTCAAGATTTCATTTCCCTTTTCACTGAGTTTACGTGGTGAACACAGCAGAGGTTTCGGATCATTCCCGTTTCGTGGCAAAAATGGTACTCGTAACAGTGCAAAAACCTAAAATAAATCGTTTATTAAACAATTGCAATTCCAATACTTTATTGTACATTACATTTAAAACAGCTCTCTAGGAAATGATACGCTGATTTGGATCGATAGTAATGATAATACTAATTTATGCTAGTTAGTTAAAGTAAAGCAATCTATACTAGCAATAGCTCAATTAGCGGTTGAATTAAATGAGAGTTTCACTGTGGCATTATTAAATTATTACAAGAGAGGCCAGCCTAAGTGTCTGAATCTTATTTATATTAGCACTATTATCCAGATACATATTGACTGGATAATCGGAATTCTGGCATTTTAATTTTTCTTCATCATTAATTTTCGTCGTCTTGCGCTTTTTTTATATTTTTAAGAAAAATTGTATTTCACTTTCAAATTTGTGTCATTTCTGATACATTTCTAAAGTGTTAATATGTCACAAAAAGTCTAACAAATGATTTCAAAATATCCGCTGAGAAAAGCATTGGGCATCAATATAAAATATTAATAATACCTGATCAAGGACACCCTGTTCTCGAAGTAATTTTTGCCGATCTCTTGGTGGCTTAAAATCTACAATTTTGATCGGATCTGTCATATGATTAGGCTGATTTGTCACGAAATATATGCATTCCGTTAATAACTGTATCGTTACTCTGTAAGCAATTTTTGATGATAATAAAAAAAAAAGAAAAACTTGAGGATTATCAAGTAATTTCTACATTTGCAATAACATTTTTTAGCTGCAGGAAAAATTCTCACTTTTAATTGGTATTCGCAAAAGATCAGTACTATTCTAATTTATAATAAGAATCTTTTGAAATTACTTCATTGGTTCTTTAGAGATGATTTTCCCACTTTCAATCAGTTTGACGAAACCGTTCAATGCTTTGCATGCGTCATTGGCAAAATCCAGATCGCGAACTTCATCCGGACGGACAGGAAGCAGCGCAAATGTTTCTTTATCGATTTTGAACTTTCCACTAACTACTTTTATCCAACCTTTTTCATTCTTGCTAAAATGGCTAACTGCATGTATTAATAAAATCAAAAAAAAAACATTACTGCATATAAAAAATCTTTCTAAAAGGAAGTTTCTGACCTGAAGTGATATAAGTTTTGTTTCTCAGTAGGATCAGTGGTATAAATCCAAGTATTCGTACACACATGCCAAAGACGTACGTAGGTCCTTTGCAAGATTCTGGCATCCATCTATTATAAATAAATTACTTCTGTAATTTCCGAAAATAGCCTGAGTTTGAATATGAGAGTAATCTTCACATCAAACATTTTAACTTTTTTCTCGGTTCCGATAAAAACATTATGAGAACTTGCCTAAACAGGTCAAAAATATTACTATTATAAATAGCATTCCAGAGAGATAAAATCACGGTATTGAACATAAATGATTTATAATACTGAAATTTTTCCCTATTTTGACATTACTGTTAATAAATTAATTTGTTCCCACCCTAATTATGCTTTAAGTTAAATTCAAATGCTTGTCGAGTAAGTGAAAATGATTATACTTTATTAATAGTGATTCACATACAAAACTAATTTAAAAATGGCTCATTTTACCTTCGTAAAGGTACAGGGATCCAATACAAATAGCAAAGATTCATCAGTTTCTGGTCTTTCCGAGTGTTTTGGTACCAAATGATACTGCTCATCATCACAGCACTCGGCTTCCATATTTGCTTAACAACATTTTTATATGAACTTTGAGCAACTTTTTTCTTGCAAAGATTTGAAAAATGAAGTTGACTAAAACACATTTTACTTTTTCTAGTGATATGTCCGCAAAGTGTCTTATCTACATAGCCACTAGTAAGGTGATTAAAAAAAGAAAACAAAACAAATTGATGAAGAATCAAAAGCACTGAGTAAAATATCGAATAAAAG